AAATAAATATTTAATCATCTGAGAAACTGTAGCAGCCAATCAGAGAAAAGCGGCCAACCAATGAGAGAACAGAAATATTCTCATTGGAGAAAACAATTAACGGATATCCAGGGAGAGAGAAAAAGAGTGGATTAAGCTAAAATGAAAAGTTTCCACAGTGGATATTCGGATCAAGAAGTCAGGATTAAAGTTTATCCATTCTAAAGTTTTCAGCTCTGGATATTAATTGTTCTAAGATATATTTCTCAAGAAAACTTTCCTCGACAATGTTTTGAGTTCACATTTGTAACTCCCCTCTTCCCGTTTTCTTCCGTACACCAGGACGTACAGTAAAGTTTACAGCTGACTGTACATGATTAATACGAGTACAGAGAATAAAATAGAACAATATCATCTGTCGCCCTGCTGTTGAATTGGTCCAACTTTCTCCTCATCTGTTTAAAGGACTTTTGTCTTACATAACATGTATTTGAGACAGGTTTTCAGAATTGTGAAACTATTTGTTTACTATGTGTAATATGCTGATGAAGAGAGTATAACTAACTGTACCTATGCAACCGTAATCAATATTTTTAGTCATTGTGGTTGGACAATTGGACATATAATGCTGTATGGTGAAGCTCCCCCCCCCCTCATACACAGGCATTTATATCCCTAAGTTAAAAATAAGCCAAAATTGTTTTTCTTTCTTTTTTTACATGACAATGAAAGCGAAAACATTAATTAATAATAAAAACAAGATCCGGCGCGTTTTTTCACCCCTAGTGAGGGGGTTTGTACTGCACCCTTATTGTGTAAAGGGGGGGGATTATTGAAATCTAGGGCTTCTCATCCATTCACGTGTATGTTTACATCTTCAGTGGACAATATCTATCACACATAGTCATTATTTCCTTGTGATAAAGATATATATGTATTTAAGTTATTTTTATTCAATAATTTATATAAATAAATGTGTTCAGCATTGGTGGACCTGGATATAATAGTCGAGCAAAGAAAAAAAGTAGAACATTTTTAGAAAATATTCAGAACTTTGATAGATAGATAGGACTAGCCCTATGGAAGGTATTCAAGAATAGGGGAGTATGAAGTGGGAATTCGAGTGTGGGAATGATATTCAAATGCATATGGAGGAGGAGAAGGGGGGGGGGGGGTATCCTTGAAATGGAATCAGGATTGACAAACATACTTTTTTAATCTTAACTGCTGGTTTTAAACTGATTTAATTAAAGCTCCGGGTTCATTCTTGATTAGAAGGAGGAACCTTATCGGCCTGGTTAGATGGGAGTGAGAAGGGGGGGGGGGTTCTGGAGCTGGGAATGAGTTTTAAGAAGATTCGAGATAAAATTTTTAGATTTCTTTCATTAAATTGCCAACGAGAGACCACAGCTCAAAAAAGAGAAATTGAAGTCAAGGACTCAAATTCTCCCAACTAAAGTACTGGAAGTGTACAGTGTACAGTGTACAGTGTAAGGGAACCGATTTCTGGATTCAAATTCTTTCCAGTTTTACTCAAATACACACTTCTACCCCGTGTACTCGCTTTACCCCAGTACATATCTCTTCCCCGTGTACCTGCACTCTGGTACATACCTCTACTCTGTGTACCTGCTGTACTCTGGTACACTCCTCTACTCTGTGTACCGTTGAACTATGGTAAAGATCTCTACTCTGTGTACCGTTGAACTATGGTACAGATCTCTACTCTGTGTACCGTTGAACTATGGTACAGATCTCGGCATGATGTCCTTCCTCTTGTTTCAATACTTCCTGATAAATTATTTATCAGGGCTCCGGAGGAAAATTCCTACATTCAACTATTCATAGCACATAGGACCTGGAGAACTCGGAACCTGAACCTTCTCCGGTCTAGAACTTGTACTTGATTTTTTTAAATGTTTACTCACTCAAACCTCGAGATTTGTCCAAGATAATGGTTAAGTACATAATGGATGTTTAAACGAGTAAGAAATGACTATAATCGACAAATCTTTTCAATTAGGTGTCTTTCGTCACGGATTCGTTTTTAAACATTAATTCTGTCCTACTTTATGAAAATATTTCTTAATGATTGAGCAGTTAAACGAGGGACCTTGGTCCCTGTCCTGTATATATAAGCACGAAGCAGGCAACAGGCAGAAGTCAGCTGTTTCTGAGTTTAAAATCAGCTGATGTTAAACCCACACACGTACACACACTCACACGAACATACTACCTCACTTGCGCATTTCAAACTTCGAACAAAACATTAAATAAACATGCATTTTGTTCACTATCATAATCTCAAATATTCATATACAAAATTGAATACATAAAATTGAACCCTATGAATAGATTTCCACATCAATTTGATTTTTAAATTACTTTTAATAATGTATACAAATTCTTGGTTTGATAAAAATAAATTGTCCCAATTTTAATTGAGTAATCAACATAAGAAGGGGGAGGTTTTAATTTAGGTTTAGTCAGGATTTATAAATTAAGGTTGAGGAAATAGGAAATTAATTTTGAGGATGAGAGAGGAAGAGAGGTTTTATTATTTTGCTGAGTATGTTGGTTTACTCTCACTCCGTCTTAGAACTTGGCCAACTTTCTCCTGGGTGATTTAGGAGATACTGAGATATCATTTCTTTTATCAACCTGCAAATTATGTCGAAAAAATACTAATGTTAAAATATATCATCTCAGAATTGTATAGATTTATATCCATGTTAAGGTTTAACAAAAGGTTGCAAGTCCAATTCGAAGTTTTACCCTAAGATCGTAAGTTCATGATTCAAAGATTGGATATCCAGAGTTTGTTCTGAAGGTTGGTTATCCATGGCAAGGTTCAACTAGTGTTAAGTTCAACCTAGAGATGACTAAGCTTGGATATTGGATATCTATTGCAGAGTTTAACCATATAACGATATCAGCAAAGTTATACCTAAATAATGGATATGCTATTTAGTTTTGACAACAAAATTGGATTTCTTATCTATTGAATATCCTAGTGAAGGTTTAAACCTATCTTGATTCTCTGGACCTAGGTTTAAACTTAATCTGGACATCCTGGACCCAGGTTCAAGCCTAATCTGGATATTCTGGACCCAGGTTAAAACCTAAACTTGATATTCTGGACCCAGGTTTTTAAACCTAATCTGGATATTCTGGACCCAGGTATTAACCTAATCTGGATATTCTGGACCCAGGTATTAAAACCTAATCTGGATATTCTTGACCCAGGTATAAACCTAATCTGAATATTCTGGACCCAGGTTAAAACCTAATCTGGATATTCTAGCCCAGATTTAAATCTTATCTGGATATTTTGGACCCAGGTCAAAACCCAATCTGGATATTCTGGATCCAGGTTAAGACCTAATCTGGATATTCTGGACCCAGGTTAAAACCTAAACTGGATATTCTGGACGCAGGTTTAAATCTGGTCCGGAATTAAAAATATTCGCACGGGCAACGGACCGGGCCTAAACAAAAGCTTAAAGGGTCAGAAGCTGTGAATCAGGAATTTTACAATTGGGGGGGGGGGTGGGTTGGGGCAATCCGCCCCCCCCCCCCACCCCTATGAAACAGTCTTGATTCTTGCATTCTTTAACTTTTGCAACTTCCAAGGACTTGAGAAATATTTAAACTCTATTTAGCATTATCAAGTGTACTTAATTATCAATGTAACTAAAAAGCTTGTGTTAGTCACCGAGGTCACAGTGAACTTTTTTAATGCAATTATGTTTTAGAAATTCAGTTTTATTTTATGTTTTAATTCTAACCCCCCTCCCCACTGGCCCTTCTCCAATATAGCTGTAAATATGTTCAAGCTACACTCTCAATTAACTCTTTGTTGCTTTGTGTTAAAAGATTTAAAGAGTGATATTTAACAATTATAGAGAATTGTGCCCACAATTCCGTCTCATAAGCGTGGGATTCAAGTCTGAAAATACGTGGATTCAAATTTAAATTGATTTGAACAATTATTGAACCCAATCAGGGATAAAAACTCCTTTGTTCGAATTTATATTCTTTAGAAGTTTTCATCAACCAAGCCTAGCATTCCGTTTTAAGATTCAGCTGTCTTTGAAGCTTATTTTTTAAATGATATATTTCTGGCTTATAAAGCCCCCCCCTCTCCCGGGCTTAGGAATTGTATCATCATCACTGTTAACCCCTCCCCCACGCGACCCCCTGCCTACTAAAGAGCTTCCCCTTGTCCCCCCCACACACCCCACCCCTTACTTACCCAACCTTACTACTATAAATGACGGTTAGAAATTTTTTCCCATTCGCGTGGAAATTCAAGCAAGCATTGACATGATCAACATGCATAGACGCAACTAGGGGGAGGGGAAGGACATTCCCCCCGCCAAGTTCTCAGTTCTTTAAAAAAGCTTTTCTTATCGATAAATAAATGATAATACGTACGTACACTGATAATCATGTTTAACTGATTTTTCTTTCTTTTTTTCCAGGTTATTGTGGTTCCTGGGATTGGAAATAGTAAACCTGAAAGATTTGGATTTACCATCAGCAATTTAGAAGATGCAGGATCTTTTCACTGTCTCCAATCTACGTCACACGGGTAAGCTTCGACTTTCGACTCGGTCGCACAAATTCAAAATATTATGTCGACAAAATAATTAGAACTAGATACAAAATTTGACTAGTATGTCGAAAGGGCATTGACTGTGACATAAGGAAGTTTTTATGTATTCTACGCATTGTATTCATGTTTTGATATATTTATGTACGCCTATATAAGAGACTGCGGAGTAGTGTTTTTGCTCCCTCTAGTCGCTAGATAGATCTCAGATTCCTGTTCAGATCTGAGACACGGAAATAAAACCAGCTTCTGAACTAACCAACTCAAGTACACGTGAGGTGGTTGGGAATAGGAGGGGGGAGAAGACAGCAGTTTTAGAGGGGGGGGATGATGCAATGAGTAAAGAACGAAGTAGCTGCGCTAAAACTGGTTGCTACAAATCTGGGATTTCAGACCTTAATACGGGATGAGGTTTTGAGAATTCAAATAGATTTTAAAAGGCCGAAATAATTGGGAATATGGCGCTCCCTTTATGATAAAGCACATTGATTCTAAGTAATGTACTAAGTAAATTTCATGTAAATTCTAGAGAAAATTGTCTATATTCTCAGAATTTATTTATTTTAATGATATCATGTTCTACGTAAATCGTTATCTCTCTTCCCCTGTCAATGAAAATATAATCCTGATTAGGGGGGGGCTTCTAATAATTACATTTTATAAGCAAATTTGTAAGTTAATTTTATTTGTTTGAGTAATAAACGATAAGTTTAGATAAACTGTTGCAGTTTTGACATTTTTATAATTCTCGGAACTAGTGCTTCTCGATATACGACCTTCTCTGGCTTCCTTACTCCGTCTCTATTCCTAACTCGGAACTCCTGGTATTTATTCCTAAAGAACATGGCACTAGTCGTCTTCATTTTTTCTTCAGTATTTTCCTAACTCCAGTCCTGTTCTTAAATCTGTTCCTGTTCTTGAATCTGGTCCTGTTCTTGAATCTGGTTCTGTTCTTGAATCTGGTCCTGTTCTTGAATATGGTCCTGTTCTTGAATCTGGTTCTGTTCATGAATCTGGTCCTGTTCTTGAATCTGGTTCTGTTCTTGAATCTGGTTCTGTTCTTGAATCTGGTCCTGTTCTTGAATCTGGTCCTGTTCTTGAACTAGTTTTGTCCTAATCATAACTCGGTCCTGTCTTGTACTTATCAACTCCGGTCTTGTTAAATCTCCGATGTCGAATTTTTCCAGTCGTTTTTTAGGACTTGTATAAATTACGACTACTTTTTTTGTTTTGTTCTAACTTCAGGGTGGCCAAAATGTACGGATTGTACGGATTGTACGGATTGATTTTTTTTAACCCTAAAATTGTACGGGATTGTACGGATTGTTTTTCGAAAATTGTACGGATTGTACGGATTTCTTCTGAAAATGTACGGATTTTTGTACGGATGGGTTCAAAAAAGTTTTGGCCACCCTGTAACTTCAAAACATCTTTTTCTTAAAAACATACTCTTATCAAATTTTTGGCGAGACGTCTGAAAATTTGAAAATTTGATATTATCGATATCCCAAATAACTCGAAACAATTATTCGTCCGGGTTTTTCTTTATAATAATTGGAAATATATTTAGTTCTAAATGTCAATATTTTTTCATGTTGAAACTGAGGCACAGGCCTGAATATTAACTTTAATGATAATAGCGGTGTGAGATCTATAACCTAGTGTTCTCAATAAACCGGTTTTTTTCCTTGTTATATCTTAGTTCATGCTATCTTTGTTTTCAATGGAGAGAAGAAAAAAACTATTTATGTATTGTAGTTTTTTTTGTGGCGCCTAAACTAAATTAAAAAACACCCAATTTCTAGAAACAATTCACTTTAAAGTAATGGAAGTATTTGAATTCAATGCGCTGCGTATTTTTTAATATTAAAAACTGTAACTAAAGTTTGGTGTCATTGTGTAAATTTTTAATTTGTCGGGAATTAGTTCTGAACACTTGTTCACAGAGTAACAAAAGTTTTGTGGGATAAAACAGGATATTAATAGTAAATATTTCTCCCTAAGGATTTTTTTTTACATTTGATGGATTTAGTTGTATTTAAAAAGATCAAATTTAGTCGTAAAAATAATAAACCTTATTCAAGTTTGTAATGTGATATCAAAAAAATAATGAGGGAAGGAATGGAATTATTTTCAAGGAAATGTATATCCCGGCATAAAAGATTCACGGTGGTTGGTGTATGGGTAGGATTTGGTGAGCTTTATTGTTTCTACCAGGTTGTAGGCATAGATTATCTTACATTTTAGACATTTAGATAGACAGACATTTTTTAAGACTACAGACATTTAAATAGACAGACATTTTTCATGATTGTAGACATTTATAGACAACCATTTTTCATAATTATAGACATTTAGATAGGCAGCCATTTTTCAAGATTACAGACATTTAAATAGACAGACATTTTCATGATTGTAGACATTTACAAAGTCAAATATTTTTCATAATTATAGACATTTAGATAGACGATACTTTGGATAATATTAGACATTTATCTAGATGGACAGATACTTTGCGTTATTGTCGTCATTTATATAGACAAATACTATATATAGTATTAGACGCATATATATGCAGATACTTTGGATAATATTAAACATTTAAAATAGACTTTTTTGGGACAGAAAATGATTGTAGATTGATAAGACAGATACACAGTTGGTTTGTATAAAAATTGTCAGGAAGATAGAAAGATAATAGACAGTTAGATAAGTACAAACCATTTCCGGTACATGATGCACGCTTATAGGCACTTCCCCCCCCCTCTGCTCGCTCTATTTTGGGTGGTTAATAAAGGGGGGGGGGGCGTTTCTCGTAAATGTTTAGTATTATATTTATTCAATTCACGTCGGTTCCTTTTAGGTTTATAATTCCTGGTTTAGTATTTTAATAGAAAAATTTAATCTAAAATTTATGCATTTAGACTTTAATTAATACATAGTTGAGTTAGTAAGCTAGTACGTGAGAATTATCATTAATCTTTTTTCAGATTTAATTACCTCATTAACAGATTTATTTGTTCTCTAACTTAAGAAGTCTTTATAATGTTTCAATTTAATTTTTAAATTCTGTGAACAAAACACAACAAAATATATATATAATGATGGATGCATAACGGTTCAAGTTTAAACAATGCCTTCTCACCACTAAAATTGCAATTAACATGATCTCATGTTGTCAGCTGGTTGTTAAATTGCTGTCATATTGTTTGAATTAGTCGTCAGCCGGATTAAATATTTTACTGACTGACAAGCTATGAAAACTTTATGACAACATCTTAAGCTGACAAGAAGCTGATAACTTTGAAAATGGCTTTTGTAACCTTGTAAAACTTATGAAATGGCGGTCAGCTGATGACTATATGTCACATAATCTATAATCAGCTGTCTTTTAATCAATCATTTTATAAACATAGAACACATAATTGTAACAGACAATGGATTGTTTTTGTTCTATAAATAAACTCAGCCTCTTGTTTATTGGCTCGAGGAATCTATTTGTTAAAGTATGCGGTGTCAGCAGTTTCTATGTCAGCGCAATCTTAGTTTAAATTTGTCAACTTAAAATCCCAGCCAATGATTATTTACACAGCATGTTTATAAATTAGTTTTTAAATTCATCGCTTTTCACGCTCAATAAACTAACAGTCGTCTTTCAAATTAACCATGCGAACATTTAGCATAAACTGAAAAATTATTTTGTCTTGTCTTTAAAGAAAATACAGTATACACTGTCGAATTAAGAATTGAAAAAGTGAAATATTTGATATTTGAATATATTTGAATTTCAGCACTGTCCTGTTGGAAAGCAAGGATAAGAAGAAAGTTGCCCTCCCCAAGTCCAGTATAGTGAAAAAGACCTCAATAGTTAACCCAACTTCGTCTAGACACTATAAAAGTGCAATTTCAAGCTCGGGACCATCCTTCTCAGGCCCAGGGAGGGGAGGCGGTCAGGCCCGCCCCTCGGGTCCAAGACCCCCTTCGCCAGACCACGCCTTTTCTCGCCAATCTGAATTGAAAAAGTGCCACACCTTTACTTCTTCTAAACCCTCATCAAATTCGGAGATCAGTAAACGTCCAATTAGGTAAGAACAGTTATTACAAAATCTGTTTAAGTATAATATTTTTCTTGCCGCCCGTACTTAATATATCGAACTTTTTTATTATATCGTTTATTTGACATCATTCATGAATTAAAGACTAGCTAACACTTGGTCTCATTGAATGAAGAAATATACACTTGAGTCTGACTCTGAAATTCAAATTTCCCACAAAAAGGATACATGTTCTAGTAGTACTTCAGTGATATATTACGAAGATAATGTATATTTTAATTGCGTATTTTAGGGAACGCTTGATACACCTGCTCGCAGTTAAACCTTATAAGAAGCTTGAACTCCTTCCTAGATTGCATAAAGGTAACAATCCCTTTTTATCTGATGTCTTTCTAATCTGTTTCTGCTCCTCTCTTTTTAGGTATTTTGTTTCAATCAAATTAATTTTCTTATTTTCAGATGGTATGAAGGAAAAGGATAAGAAAATTTGGATGAATATTCTCCGTGAGGTGTCGGAGCTGAAAAACAACTGTTTCGAGCTCAAACGTAGTGTCTGGAACGATGTTATGGAAGATTGGCCGTTCTACTCCGAGGGGGATAAAGCCGCTCTTAGACGGAGGAAACCACAGAACCTTACTCCTCCTGTCTCTGACACAGGTTCAACCTCATCCGGTCATTCACCGTCCTCCACCACCCCAGCCTCACCCCCACAGATCACGAACCCGCTGAAACGCCAGAGTTACTACGACGCAAGCAACGAGAGTAAAAAGAAGCGCGTTTCTCACTTTAAGCGGACGGGACCGATGTCTGGCTCTCCTTACGGAATGAGCGGATCAAGTCCTATGATAGGTACCGGAATATCACCAGGATTAGACCATATATCTCCCAAATCCAACATGGATCGACTGGATCTTCCAAACACGTTCGAGGACGATTCTGCCCCCGACTGGGGACAGTTCCATGACAACGACCAGTTAGTCCGCAATAGTCCAGAGCGGAAAAGTAGTCCGGCCGTGCAGCGAAGGAGTCCGATGGTTTCGGTTCCCGACGCCGCCGGTCATCGGTATAATTCTCCTAAATCCCAACTAGCGCGAACAAATAGTCCTTCCACTCGAGGTCCATGGGCGGACGCGGAGAACCTTGATTTATCTTCGTCCTCGGCAGATCCTCAGCTCAATATTCAATTCCATTTTCAAAATTCGAACAAGGATTTTCTTACGTAAGTTTTAAAACATTTTATTTATTTTTTACATTCTGTTGCAATATTAATAACTAAAGGAATTTAAAGTAGGTTTCCTTCATCTTTTATTCTCGTAAAAAAAAGTTTGAATTGGCGAGGTGTGTGCAAACTGTAATTTTAGCAAGGATTTGTTGCAAAGAGTTGCCAATACTGGGTCACACATTTATCTTTTTCTCTTTCAACATCCATCCTTGAAGAATATATTTGTCACCCCCCCCCCCCCCCATAATTTACACCCCATAAGCCTTATGCCAATTTGAATGGGATTGTTCGCGAGTTTTTTTAATTTGAAGGGGGCATGAGTAGATTTTTCTTCCCCCCCGCCCCCCCCCCATCATGCATTTATTCCCCAAAAGTCTTAGAAGAAAACATTTTTTTTAGGGTTTTATTTGCTGAATTTGTGAAAATAAATTAATTTTTGGTTTAAAAGTGTCAAAAATAATGAAAAAAGTTGCCTTTTTTATTCCCCCCCCCCCCCTTCAAATCATCAAAAATCATTTCTCCTGTTCCCAAGGAGGGGAGGGGGAGTAATTCTAAACAATATACACCCTTGCAATAGTGACACTTGACATCTTACACTCCACAAAAAATCTTCCGTAAGAAATAAAAATGTAGGCAGGAAGGCAGCCATGATTTAATCATGGTTCATCCAACAATTTTACTAACATGATTTAATCATGGTTCATCCTACACCTTTACTAACCTGATTTAATCATGGTTCATCCTAAAATTTTGCTANATGGTTCATCCTACAATTTTACTAACCTGATTTAATCATGGTTCGTCCTACAATTTTACAACCGTTATTGAAACACATTTTTTTCATAATTACTCTCGGTAAGGCTTCTTCTCAAATGTATTAATAATATCGATTTTGGAAAGGAAGGAAGTGTGTGAGAGGGGGGTGTTCAGAAGAAGTTAGTATTTCTATACTGGAATTTCCTATGTAGCATTAACTTATTAATTGCCCTTTCTAAACCAAGCTACCTTCAAAATCTTGATGAAAGATCAAATCTAAAGAGTAAAGACTGTGCGTTGGATCGGAAAATGATTTAAACTGTTATTACTTTGTCACTTGATGATTTTTATCTATTTATTATTATTTTAGGTCCTACGGTCCCATCACTAGTGCGGAGCAGAGAACGCAATATAAAAAAGATTTTAACACCCACTACAACACTTACATTCAGTTCCACCAGATTCTTGATAGAGTTAGATCTCGCTTTACAGAGCTAGAGAACCGTCTTAAAGGAGCAGTAAAAGGAAGCCCCGAGTACTCGGTAAATATTTTTGTTATTGTTAAAAAAAATCATAGAATTTTATTTCTTTAAAGGAAGGGTACGCACAACTGGTCTACATTTGTATGAATATCCGAGCTGGGCCAACCTTAGCGGTCCTCGGTTGGACTGTACCGCCAATTTACCATTACTAAAGCGTCAGACATGGTTAAGGGTTGGATTTTATTTTGAATAGAGAATAATTAACATAACCTGGCTAATTTTCTCTTTTGTTTTCAGGGGATTCGGAGCGCCATAGTCATGGAGTACGAGAAGTTCAAGACGGACGAGGAGTACCAGGCTGCAAGGATGAACTTCCAGTACCTCCATGAGAAGCTTGCTTGTCTCAAGAAGTTGGTCCACGATTATGATACTGCCCAGCAGCGGTAACTCCATCTCACGAGGTTACAGACCTTTCATGAGGTCACAGACCTTTCATGAGGTCAAAGACCTTTCATGAGGTCACACACCTTTCATGAGGTCACAGACCCTCGTGAGGTCATTGACCCTCACGAGCACTGACCTCTTCTCCAAAGGGAGACTTGGAGACCTTCCAATATTTGGTTAGGGCTAAACCTCTTCATCTTAGAACCGGTTTTGAGGATCGGAGGATATATTATCATTCTTTCCTGAACCCGTTCTTCTAGAGATAGAAACCCAGCCCTTGCTATCTTCCACACACAACCGTGCCTTCCGCCAATCCTCCGAGTTGGTTGCCTCTGATAAGCGGCGCTCAACTTTGGAACCTGCAGATATCTCCGCTCTTGAACATATCCAGGCTTAAACCAACCAGTTCTACTCGAACCCTGAGCAGCCACATTGCAGCATCATATTGGAGAAAATGAAGAAGAAAAAATAACTTATATATCAATGTTCCTTAATTATGAAGAATGGCATTCCGTTTGATGTGAACCGGTAGTGATTGAGCTAAGTGAGTGAGCCTTGTATGCATTTAATTTCGTAACCAACAACAGCAAAAATATCTCGCCTAAACAACCGACTCATTGACCTAATCAGTTTATTCCTCCCATCCATATTCTGTGAATATGACACTAACGCGACGAATTCTTAGTTACGGACTCTCCTGTGCCTCCCTATGAGCGTGCCAATTTGAAAATTATGTGCCTATAAGTTCCTACTTCTAGTGAATAGACCCGGACAGATTTTATAAACAGGCATTTGAATTATTTTGCCAGCGTAGTTCTTTTCTAACTCCTGGACAGTGCTGTGAGGTGAAGGAAGAAAACATTTCTTTCGCCATTTTCCGACTTTTAACGAGCTTCCTTCTACGCGACATGGTGTGACTAACAAAGACATGTTGGATCACTTGATCCAGTCGAAACTAATGAAATCTAGTCGCAGGTGAACCACAGCGACAGCCTTGTCACAAACCCACGGAACTGTTCGTTGGTTCGCTTACACGTTTGAAACGGGCATTAACCGGCCCCCCTGCAAACTTTTCATATTTTTGACTCATCCCTACTCTGACAAACACGGACATTATTCTTCGGGCATACCCGGAGTAGGTTCTCTGTCCTTCCAAGGCGGAGAACCCAACTCAGGTTAATAAACCACAAATTCATTCAGTTTTGATTCTATTCAAGCTCTAGCTCACCAAACCGTCTCCCCCTCTACTCTGTATCCTGTATGCAAAATGCCGCTAAGAAGATAAAATTAAATCTTTTGTGATACTGTCCCCGCTCCGCCGGGGTCAGCTGTTCCAGAGCTAACAGTCCGCTGCGGCGTATAATCCATACGCCGTGGTGAATCCATATCCAGGTTTATTGAAATTTTTTAATTTAAACGAATTCAGATTGGAATAAAAGCAGATCTCAAGTTCTATCCTGTTCTCCCTGAAAGCTCTGCCCTCCTCCTCCTAAAAAGCCGACTCTACCAGAGAGAGACCTTTATATTGTCCTACTACTACTACTATGAGAAGCTCCTGGTAAGGAGAGCTGAAACCATGCTGACGACCCCTCATTCTGTTTGGCCTCGAATATTTGAAAAACTCTACTTTAAGCTCATTTTATATATATTTCTGTCTCAAGATGCAAACTAGAGCAGTTTTGTTCAATGAATTCTTATTTCTTTGGTTTGATGAGAGGTCTATTATGCAACAGGGATGGGGATTAAATCAGAATCAAATAATAATTTAATTTTTGTTTAAACCTTCTCCCTGTTTTATGAGAACTTTTCTCTTCTACGCCAGAACTTCAATATCTGGATAAAGAATGGTGTTCTTCCTAGCAGAAGAAAGTTCTCAGAAAAATTTCTCGATGTCCCTATGCACTTCATCATAGGGCAATATTTTTTTTAGTCTTTATATTTATATTAAATCTGTTCCATTCCCGCAACACTCAGCTTGCGTAGGAAAACTGTTTTATATGTATCAATTATCAATTTTAAGACGTGGCTCTAAGAAAAATGAAATTCTTAAGACCACCAAAGGTCAGATTTAAGCGTAATCATGTTTATTATTTTTCAATGCATATAATACCGCTCTAGATAAAAAATAACAAAAAAAAATTATAAAATGTTACAAAAATATTTTATTATATATTAATGTTGCATAACCTTGTAAATTAACGCAGCTTGGTTGTTTGAAAATTAAACTCATATTTTATCGGCTTGTTTTATCTGTACTTGTGCCATTATATCCTTCATAGTATAGATGCATTGCATATATATATGTTGAAAATTAACGGATTTTTTGTAAAATCCAAATGTGATATTTATTAATTGTAAACATTCCACCCTTAACCCAATCCACACCTCTACTGTTCCCGTCAACCCTCATATTGGAATTTTTCAAATTGAAACCACACGCTCACTCCACTCAATCTAAACCTTTCTAAATACATTCTGAATCTACTGTTGAAACCCACAAATATTTCTGTCACATATTTCATGCAAATCGTTTTTTTCTCCATAAGTTAGTTTTACTCTAAAATCTTTTTTGCTTTGAATAATCTCAATTGTCTATTGCTCAAACATTCGTTTCCTCCTCGGATATACAAGGATATTTATATGTACATGCGCTAAAATACATGTACATCTATTTATTATAGTATACATTGATATACTGAGTATTGATCTCCAGATCATTTTTACATCTTGTCTTTTTTCCCTGTATCTAGCCTATCCCTGAGCACAATTAATCCAACCCTTCAAGCTAATCCTCCTACCTGGAGCACAACTTCTCATACATCCTATCCTGCGATCAATTCCCTTTTCTCTGGTACTAAGATATAGAAAAAGGAGTTTTAAATCAAGGTTATGCATCATGTGCCCGTCTTTTAAGATGAAATATTAAACTATTCGTGTTAGCTCGTCACTGCAGTTATCAAGCAAGATAAAAACAAAATAAAAAAGATATAAGCGATTTATTACATTCATTTAAGAGAGTAAATTTTGATTGATAAGGAAAATAATCTGGAAATTTGTTAAAAAATAAAAATTATCAGAAGTTAAATTTGTGAATCATTGGATCAATTGAAGGAAGCTTAAAAAGAATATTTTTGATGGATTAGAGTTAATACCAAAAATCCTTACAAGTTGTATGGCTTACCTAAAGAAGGTTTTCCGTTCTAATTATGTTATGTTTACAAAAAGATTCAATAAGTTATGACGGGTGTTGTAAATTTATTGATATGCTGAATACGACGAAGAGAGAATATTAAAGAAAATACGTTAAAGAATAGTCAGGATTTGGATTAAATGAAAAACAATATTATTGTGAAAGTTAAAAAAAATTACTTGGATTGAAACAGAAAATGTGCTCACGAATGAAAGGGTTGAATTAGATATCTAAATTGATTTTTTTACATTTAAATTAATTTATGAAAGAAATGTGAATTTTGCCTATCAAGTGAAATAAATAAACAATTTTTTTATAGTAAAAACCCTCTTACATAGAACTTCTAAAAACTAACAGAATCTTACTGATCAGGGAAGGATAAATAATGAATATACAAATGATTTATTTATACAAGAAAAAACGATTATATATATTTTGAGATATTTGAATACTGAAGAATTTTTCCTTTATCAAGTGTGTCTTGTTAAAATGTATTATAAACATACAAGTGTCGTTAAAATAAGAATGCTTTAGTAAACTTTAACAGAATATTAGGATTTCAAGAATCAATTTTTTTCAAACGAAGGATCTTTATATTTTAATATTCTATTTATTTTTTCATGCTTTGCCCAAATAATTGTGGAAATGGTTGAAAAAATTGGCCCATGGATATACACAATAAAAAAAGTGAAATTTAGGAAAATTATGTAGACATTTGATGTTGTTACATAGCAAACAGATTTACTAGTACCTTATTAAATCACTTATTAAGTGAAATGGGGCTGTTTACACTGCACAACTACTGTGACTATTTGACTGTTAATGTCGTCTTCCTATTCCAGAGTTTAATGGTTCTCACTTTCCGTTAAATATAGGAAACTGCTCAAGTCTGTTTCATAATCTAGAAAGAAAAAATCTGATGGAAAACTAAAGTGGTGGCACCAGGTATCGCCGGATCTAGCATGAAGAGAAATATTACAATTCAATCTACGTAGTTCAACTAATAAATAGTCCTTTTCATTAAACCGAATTTTAAAGATTGAAATTGTATAAAGTTGCCCGGTTCATAGAACAAGCTGTAACTTGCTGTAACTACGACTATGATTTCCAGACATAGCTCTGAGCTCTGATCTCAAAATTGGATCACACCTCGTTCATTAGTCTCAAGTCATAGCATTTGATAGCTGTGACTTCGAGTCGCAGCTAAGCTGTAATCCAAGCTGCGAAGTCATAGATAATGATTCAGTCAAGGTGTTTCAACGAATGGTGCAATAAATATGTGAAATGTATAAAGCGGATGGTGCTATATTACGGATGCATGCATCATAAGCAAGGGCGTATACAAGGGGGGGGTAAAAGGGGAAGTGCCCCCCTAGGCCTGTAAAGGGGGGGCATAGCCCCTTCCCTTGAACTAAGAGCTTTCTCACTTTTCAAATCTTAAACTCAAGAGTAAAGAACATAAAACAAATTAGTTTGCCTCCTGGTCATTCAGTGCACTTTAAAGAAGAAGAAGATTGTATACTTGAACCAGAGCCACCTAGATAGAAGTCCGAATGCAAAATCTATCTAGAATGCACATTCACCGTAATCGGATAGGCTCTATCAGGGATAGCGAAGTAAAACAATTATTTTTAAATGAAAAGCCACGAAGGTAGTAAAAGACTACTTATTTAAAATTTGGATTTAATTTACTTTATTCATTTTTATTACAAACTAGATTAAGTGCCAGGCATTGCACGTGGAAATTTAAAAATCGAATTAAAACAAAAAAATTATAATTTATTCAGCTTAAATATCATCCCCAATGGTCCTCAGAGATTCCTTACTAAATTTCAGTCCATTTGATTCAGCCGTTTGGCCAGCCATAGTAAACATATAAATGAACGAAAAGGTTTATTATATAGATTACAATTGTACTCATACTTTTTTTCAGAAACTTTTACTGGTCATAATTATTTTCTGGACCTTTGTCCTTTCTTTCATCGCATAGAATTTAAGTTTAAGTTGAGTTTTTACTTTCAAAAATGTCTTTTACTATCTTTAGTTTAAATACCAATTATTACTAACATAACAGTATAAATAATATGTCGGGTTTTTAGAAACAATGCTTTTTTCTGCTTGTTTTGTTTTTAGGAGAGATAAAGTAGTACTTGCTAGGTAATTGGACTGTATATGAACCTTCAGAGTATCCTAAACTTATGCCTGATATCCAAGAAGCCAAATGTTTTTAATTTACAGTTTAAATTTTACCCCACCCCTAAGGAGCTCCTTGGGGGGGGGGGGGGCAAAAAAAATTTCGCCTCCCCCCCAAATTCATTTCTGTATACGCACTTGATCATACCAAATACATATGTTACACCATTTGAATGAGAAAAAAATTATTTGCTTTGAAAATTTAAAGGTTATCTGAACTGATTTTAAATAATGTGTTAGAGAAAATTTCGGAATTAAATTCTCGAATTTCTTGTTTTTAGTAGATTTTTCAGAAATAAATTCTAGAATCTTAAACTAAATTAATTTTTATCAAAAGTTTTTTTCTGCTCTATAATTGCAGTGTCTTCCAAGCATGCTCTAGTAATGACCAACAGCCGTGCCTGCTGCTGTATCGTTGCTATATATCATAATTTTTTAAAAATTACTTAAAGCAATTATGTTGTCTTCTTTAGTAATCATAATTACCAGAGTATTTTTCATTTAAATTTGAATTGTAAGGCGGAAGGTTTGCTGTAAAATGTACGGAGGAAGGGGCCCTTCAATGTTCATACACGAGCAGAGGTTAGAAAACCCGCTTTAATCTAATTGCATAATAGCTTGGAAACCCAGCTTTACTTGGAAATCTAAGCTTCTTAACATTAAAATCGACAAACTGAATTTAGAAATGTTAGAATGGTTGGAAAAAAAGATATATATATATATAAACTTGAGTGAATCTTTATTTAATGGAATAATAATCTTTGATAGTATAAAATTATATACATGTTAGCTATAGCTGGTCAAATGACTGGACTAATTTGGCAGACTTTTTTTTATAGGGAACCCGTGGCTAAATAGGCTATAAAAATATTTTTGAAAATACACGGGCTTCGTGGGCAAAAATCATTATATTTAATATCCGGTGGGAGTAGCTATGATTATGAGTAATAATAAAAAACCTAGGGCACTCCAGCCAGTTCTTAACATCTAACAATATAATTTTGAAGACACACAACAGGCAGACCATAATTTGGAAATACCAGCATTACAAGAATAATTTAGGCATATTGTTCAGTTACGAGGCTACCGACAAAGAAGACGACTGTACGGATTTATTCAGTCTTGTTTCTTCCATTAATGATTTCCTGCAGCTGTGAACTTTTTATTTTTGTTAGATCAGTTACGAGTATCATTTCAAGACTGTTTACAATACAGAACAGAAAATTAAATCTTCAAAAAGTTTTCGGTCAATAAAGCATCCTTTGTTGGTGACCCTTTATGTTCCTGTATTTGGGGCTCTTTTAGAGAGAGAGCTTATTCAAATACAAATATTCAATAATTTAAATATTTCATAATTTCGAGTCACTATTTCATGTCTACTTACAGTTAAAAAGCATCAATTTGGCCGCAGATTGCAAGTCTTCAAGTATATTAGGCTGTAAAATTGTAAAATTAATCCCACCCCCTCCATTCTCAAAACAAACTTTTGAAAGCTTTCACTATAAGAACAAATCATCCAACAAGTAAATTGTCAATTATTTTATTGACAAAATAGATAAACTACCCTAGAAACAAACTTTAAAATCTATATTTAGATGTGCTAGTTGGCTAAGAGGCGCAGCGGATATGACAGCATTAATTAATACGCCTTCCATGAAGATGGATTGAGAACAAAGAGAATAGAACATATAGAGAGGAATTTAGAGAATCTCTCGTTATGATTTTTTTCAGTCCCTTTCAGCCTTAAAGGGAGTTCAAAGTGTACAAATCATGTAAATGTTCACAAATTATATGCAGTAGAGTACATTAATACAGTATGTTCCTAGACTATCCATTTCAATTTCGAATTTTAAAGCTTTTAAATAAACTTTTAAAATGAGTTAGGTGAATAATAAACATCATTTGATTTATAGTTATAACGGAAAATCATCGTTTGTAAAGTGAAAGGCAAAGAGTCTATGTGAAATGATCATTGGTCGATTATAAAACCAGCCTATTTCAAACTTTTGTTATTCTTTTAATATTAATTTTAGATTTTCTATAAAGTGATGTTCCAGGGCCCAAAAGGTTAATAGCGCAAATATGTGAAGTACACCTGCAGTATGGAAACAGTACAACAAAATGACCGTTATACACTTTTTTTCTAGTAAATTCCCCTCTAATATATATTCTATTCTCTTTGATTGAGAAAGTCAACTTTGTAAAAACCCCTTAAATTGGAAATTCTCATCCTAATACTTGATCGGGCTTTATTTCAAAACATATTTATTTCAAGAAAAAATAATAAGATAATACAGAAAATTTTACTCAATTTTTATGGATTTTATTCAAAAATAAAAAATATTACTAGCAAAGAGAATAGAATATATATTAGAGGGGAATTTAGAGAATCTCTCGGTACGAATTTTTTCAGTCCCTTTCAGCCTGAAAGGGAGGTCAAAGTGTACAAATCATGTAAATGTTCACAAATTACATGCAGTAGAGTACATTAATACAGTATGTTCCCTAGACTATCCATTTCAATTTCGAATCTTTTAAAGCTGTTAAATAAACTTTATAATGAATTAGGTGAATAAAAAACATAATTTGAAATAGAATTATAACGGAAAATCATCGTTTGTAAAGTGAAAGGCAAAGAGTCTATGTGAAATGATCATTGGTCGATTATGAAACCAGCCTATTTCATAATTTGGTTTTCTTTTAATATTAATTTTAGATTTTCCATAAAATGATATTCCAGGGCCCAAAAGGTTATATAGCATAAATATGTGAAGTACACCTGCAGTATGGAAACAGTACAACACAACACTTTTTTTCTAGTAAATTCCCCTCCAATATATATTCTATTCTTTTTGGTTACTAGCAAGGATGTGGTAACTAGGGATTATGATTGACAAAAATAAAATATAACAGGAAATAGGACGTAATATGTAACAAGTACGAAATCTAGATGAATATAAAATGAAATTAAAAAGGAGTAATACTAGTAAAAAATTAAGTAAGTGATTTATTCTGATACTTAACAAGCTAAAAAATTCATTATATCCGTGTTCTGAATGAATGCCAGACTTAAACACCGTTTTTTTCTTCTCATATACTGTATTATATCCAACCCCCCTCATCTCTGTGATCTGATTGAATGCCAGGCCTGCACAACAGGTTCTCTAGAGTCCCATAACAGTCTACTACCTGGAAAGAAATAAAGCTGAAGTAACGATTAAACTCCTGTTCAAGTCGGTAATGTACAGGGTGTCCCCAAAAAAATGGGGAATCAAGTGACAAACTTTCATATAGTCATCGATCCATCCTAATTTTGTTTATGGACATAATGAATGTTGTATTCCGAGTATTCCAGTGTTGACAATTAGGCAGAAAATCTTTTAGCCTTGTGGGTTGTCATTTTAGTACCTTCAAAACTAAAGAGGATAGTAAGAGTTTTTCCGCAAAAAGTTTCAAAAATCATTTATAAAACTGTTTAATAAATTAATTTTATTATATTTTCCGAATCATGAATAACGAAAAGGTGGACAATGCCAATATGTTAATGACTATGAGGGGAAGCGAAAATCTTGAAATTATAGCATCATTTTTCAAATTTTACAATATCCGTCAATTAACAGTATACAGGCAGTTTTTCAGGAAGACGAAACCTTTTCAGACTTTCGTGGGATAACCATAAAATTTTTGTAAATACCCTGTTCCTTGAAATAAATTCAGAAATAAGAGAAAAATGAATATATTTAGAATTCCTGGAATATTTCCTTTGATCCTTGTAATTTTTCTTCAACTGCCAAAACATGAAAGACGCGCAATAAATTAGATTCAGGAACAAGTTTATTTAGAAAAAAACTCTAGTTAACTTTAGTTCAAAACTTTAAGTTATAATTAGTTTTTTTTTAAGTTGTGAAAGACTAAATTACACAGTTTGAAACTACAAGAAGGAAAGATAATGAGGGAGGGGGGTAAATAAGTGGGTTGGGGGTATTGCTGATTGTATTTAAAGATATACTGCTCTCTGTACATCAAGAATGATAATTAATATAAAATTACTACAGTAAAGTGGGACCCTAAAAACTGTGGAATGTGAAGACGACAGTAAAGCAATCTTCAGTCTTTTTTATGTTGTTAAGCAATTAGTAACGTTAAAACCAACTTTTTAAGTGAAATTATTTTGTGTAAACTGCACAATTGTCAATTGCCCTCTTAAATGCTTTAACTAGAGTCCTATTCCACCGTTTTATGGCTCCCATTGTAGAATAAATATAAACCTACCCATATGGACCCAGAAAATTCCGTAAAGAATTCCTGCCAAGTGAGCAGAATGATCTAGAACTCTCCATCCCATCACCAATCCTACTGCATCCATACACATCAAGCCCTACAATAAACCAGCAGCTCAGGGATTTAAAATAGATAAAGGAACATTAAAGGGACCGTAAACGTGATTATATGAGAGACGGTCCGATTCACAGCGTTATCCTTAAAAACTTCGTCGGATCAAGTATGAATTAGATATCCACGTTTTTGTTTTTGAAAACTGTTTATTTTTTTTTTGTTGTTTTTCTGCAAACATGACCTGCACATAATTTTTTCGATGGAAAAAATAATGTTTCAACCCTCACCTCCCCAAAAAACGATGTTATCTTTCACATTATTGATGGAAAGGTTTCAAGGGTACCGTTGTGAACTGAGCATCCACCTCTTTAAAATGAAGGGTCATGTAAAGTAACGTCGAAAGTCCATAAAATATAGTTTAAATAAAAACATTCTACTATTGAATTTCTTTTAGATAATACAATTGTTAAGGAGAAAGTATTGTTCTACAAACCTATTATTTACCTTTATAGCTGTAGAGGCGGAAAATGTAAACATTGGAAGTAAAATCATGTGAAGCTGTGCGTCCGGAACCAAGGTTCCAAATATACCTCAACAAATATAAATATTTTTTTTTTTCAACAAATAATTGTTTTACAGAAAACGTCAACGTAACATTAAATTATCATATTTCTAAAAATGAAATAAAAGTAGCGTTGAGAAGTAACGATGCAAATATTTCCATTAAACTTTATCAATAAAGTCTTACTTTAAAATTTTAGAATAATTCTATCTTAAGAGAAAGGCATATTTAATCTATATGCGCAGGCGCGTACACAGGATTTTAGCCAGGGCCCAGGGCAAGATTTTTTGCCCCCCCCCCCCTTGGAATTGTTTTGTTCAAAAAGTCAATTAACACCATAAAATTACACCAAAAAGACTACATTTTTGGGTGTTACTAACCTTATAGACTCTAAAATTTATTCTAAAATTTATTCCTTTGCTTAAAAAACTAACTTTAACTTTTTAGCTTAATAAATTTATAAATTTATCACTTTACTCCATCACAGCTAACTAAATCAATATCACAGCATCATTAAAAATCATATTTTCACTGATAACCGAAATTTCTTCTGAAATTTGTAGATAGAATTTACTTAATCTACATATTCACCAACTCTTTTAAGCTACAATTTTCTTGGATTTGCTTGCACAAACATTTCAATGATTTTCTCAGTAGTGAGCCATAAGTGTGCATAATCGTTAGGTCTGCTCTCCGTCATAATACATCTTGTGTAATGAAGTATTCTCTTTAGAATTAGAATTATTGTCATCATTGCATAAAGGGGAACTTGAAATTATCTCTTTATGAAAATAAAGGAATTGAGTCTTTGCCACAAACTCTGATTTTCTAATCACTATATTTTTGGAACCAGATGTTGGAGACAGAGATAAATAAATAAACATAAATAGCTTATGTACGCAAAATCAACAAGAATTTTACAGTCCGCGAACTCATACTTCTAGGGGTCAAAGTATACTTCAATGATAAGTGGGGTGGTTTGGTGTTTTTATTATTAAACCACTCAGGAGTGAATTTTATTTTGAGAATATCAAACAAGGGGGGGGGGGGGTTGAGGTAAAACATTTAAGGGTCATAGCTCAATTATTTTTAAGTTCTGAGGTATTTTTGATTTATACTTGACAACTCCGGCTCTGTAAAAAATGGCTCTTTTCTAAAAGTCAAGAAGTGTCAGGTTGATTTTTTCAAAAATGAGAAACCTATTTGATAAAAAATTTTGCTCTCTCTTATAGAGTTTTTGCCAAAAACTCAAATTTATGTCGTTTTAAATATCAAAGACTATTAAGTTGTAAAGATATACGGCTTAAAATCAGTCAAAGTGGAAAAGTTTCATAAATGATAAAAACAGTCTATAAACCTAGATTTAAAAACTTTGTGCATAATGACATCAAACTTTTATTGATAAAATAATTTAGTCTACAATCACAATCACTGGTTTTGAAAAAGAATAATCTTGCAGCTTGCTAAGCAAAGGATCGGAGAGCTGCAATGATATTTATCTCTACAATCCGAATATTTTAACTTTTTTATAACTCTTTGAAACAACTCCTCCAGAATTTTACTTGCTGAACTGTGAAGAAGGTTTATAGTTTCCTCTGGTAAAGAGAACTTGTCTTTTATTTCGACAATCACAGATTCTAGACTGCGAATTTTTTCGTCGAGTTTTCTTTTTTGAGCTTTGAGGGAACAACTCTGATTTTGGAATTTTTTCCCTTTGCTCGTGTTTCCGTCATACATTTTCTTTTTCTTTTGAATAGCTGGGACGGCATAATTATATTCGTTCAGAACAGTTTCCAGGGAGCAGTTCTGAACAGCTCCAATAATGTTAAAAATTGAGGGAACAGCAGACTTTGACAACTTTTTCCCATTCACTTTTATATAACTAGGAAAATGTTCGTTTCTGATAACATTCGGATTGGGTCTTTTCCAATCTACTAGGTTTAACCATTCCTCCAGAATAAAGTGTAAAATAACTCCGGGAATGGAACTATTTGAACAACAATATTTCACTGAGCAATATATCGTATTGACGAGAACTGAAGAAGAACATGAGAAGGACTAGACTATAAACTTAAATTTCTCTCTACAGAACTCATGTACACTGCAAGTTCTCAATGATATAACAACAGCCAATGTTCACAACCGACCTAGTTAATATCTATGTATATCTATATAATAGGAATATCTTTAAAATATCTCTGTAAAATGTCGTCTTTATCTATGGTTGTAGACCTTAGATATTTCAAACTATGAATTCTGTTAGATCAAATATACAAGAGGACTACTGCCCCCCCCCCCCTATGTACGCCACTGTATATGGGCATTTAAGTATTTTTCCAAAAGCTCCGAAAAAATTAAATGTTAGTTTCACTCTGCCTGCCTAGCCTTCCTCTTTTCTGGCTGCACGTGCTGAGCAGAGCAGAGTAGCAGAGTTTATATTGATTTATGGTTTAAAAACTTTGCTTACAGAAACATCGGATAAAAATATTCCCTGAAACAGACAAAACTTGAAGCAAAAATTAATTAGATAAGACAGAGGACGGAACACTTGTATGGAGTAGTATAAAATTTGAACGTTTGGAGATCAATGCTTGATACCCCGGATTACCAACACAATAGTTCCGACTCCTAGGCGTTTACCTAGAACAGTATAAATAGCTCCACTGGCACCAAGACTATATCCCATTCTTCCAATTCCAATCTAGAAAATACCAGAATAGTAGAAATGCAACTATGCCGTTTTTAAATGACACCTTGAACACTGTACACTGTACAGTGTACATTATCTTGCATATAAAGTCCCGAAAGTGGCGCCTTATTAAAAATGGGGGGAGGGCACCTAGCTGAAATATGGGGCAGATTGTATTGTACCCCCGTGAAATACTTTTTCTAACTACACAATTAATCTTGTTAACATTTATAATATTAATTATTACGTTTTGTTTTAAAAATAGTATTAGTATTTATATAATATGTAAAGCTGGATCTGAATAATTAATATGTTAATGCATTAATAAATACCTTTAAATAAATTGGTAACCTTAAAAATTTAAAACAATGCTAAAATAGAATAAGAGAAAATAAAATGAAATTTTAAACATTGCTTTGAGAGAATATAATATTTGCAGGTGTATTACCAATCAATTAAAGCTTTAATATCGGGATTGTTGTTAGTTGATTTAAATCTGGATTCATAACATCCTGTAAGGATCAAGATCAGAATACATTATTTCTCAAAGTAGATCCTTATTCATTACTTTATATAGAATACAGAATCTTAATCCATTATTTCTCATGGAGGATCCAGATTCAATATTAAATGTAATAATCCAGGATCTTGATCCATTATTTCTCAAAGAGGATCCATATTCATTACTTAATTTAGAATCCAGGATTTTGATCCAATATTTCTCAAAAGGGATCCATATTCATTACTTTATATAGAATCCAGGATCTTGATCCAATATTTCTCAAAAGGGATCCATATTCATTACTTTATATAGAATGCAGGATCTTGATCCATTATTTCTGAAAGTAGATCCATATTCAATACTTTATATAGAATCCAGGATCAAGTTCCATTATTTCTCTGGGAGGGTCCAGATTCTATATTAAATGTAAAAACCCAGGATCAGAATATATTATTTCTCAAAGTAGATCCATATTCATTACTTTATATAGAATCCAGAATCTTAATCCATTATTTCTCTCTTTTTAGTAGAATTTTTTTAAAAGTGAAAAAACTTTTATGTAAAAATTAATCACATTCTTATTCACTCTCAAAAATTAAGCGTAAAACAGGCCCCTAAAATCGAGAGCTAAAAAAATTGGAATCGATTCTATACTAAATCCAGGATCAAGTTCAATTATTTCTCAGGGAGGATTCAGATTCAATATTAAATGTAAGAATCCAGAATCTTGATCCATTATTTCTCAAAGGGGATCCATATTCATTACTTTATATAGAATACAGAATCTTGATCCATTATTTCTCAGGGAGGATCCAGATTCAATATTAAATGTAAGAATCCAGAATCTTGATCCATTATTTCTCAGGTAGGATCCAGATTCTATATTAAATGTAAGAATCCAGAATCTTGATCCATTATTTCCCAAGGTTATATTTTTTGTTTAACAAACACTTTGATCATATAAATAATGTTTTTCTTCAAATATTCTAGTGAGACATAAAAATAAAAAATAACTAGTATAGCAGTTTAAAATGCTAGGCTCTTAGGGCACATTTCGATTGTGAACATTTTCCATTTGTAAACACTGTAAAATAAAATCAAATAAATGCTCGCAAATTTTATAAAAATATTTCTTTGATTTTCAAAATTTAATGACAATCAAATTTTGTCACAGGCAAAATTTTTAAATTTTGTCACAGGCAAAATTTTTAAATTTTGATCATCTATTTGCCATTCCTGGGGAAATGTGAAGTCCCACAAAAATTTGGACCCAATCGGTTCAGCCGTTTTGACGTTTTTATTGGATACAAACAAAGAACAAGAGAAACAGACAAGCAAAGTGTATGGATAGATATGATAAATAGTTGAAAGGAAAAACAAGATAAAAAGATATTGTTTTTTATTGTTCTATAATGATATTTACTTTATGAACATAGCTGGCCAAAGATGTGAGAACACCTGAGCTAAGATAAACCGCCATAAACTGTTCCTAGAACCAATCATTATTCATTTCACAAATATTATTTGAAATTTATGTATCAAATCAAAATCAAAATCGAAATCGAAATAAAATCAAAATCAAAATCAAAATCAAAATCAAAAACAAATCAAATCAAATCAAATCAAATCAAATCAAATCAAATCAAATCAAATCAAATCAAATCAAATCAAATCAAATCAAATCAAATCAAATCAAATCAATGAAATGAAATCAAATAAAATCATGCTGGGATTCGATTAGACTCCACTTTACAGACTGGCTTCTGTAGGTTTAAACTTATATTTCAAAATTTTTCATTTTATCTAGTTTACAGAGAAGAATCCAGCAATACTCCCAAATTTAAACAATGCTACCATTAAAATATCTAAAATATCGTGCTTAAAATTTAATTTCTTTTCTTAGAATTTGAAAAGAAGTCGAACACAGGATTCCTAGACCACCATTAGGTTGGAGGGATTAATGTTCACTCTTCAAAGAAGAACATTATTTTCATTTCTCAGAGTACTTATATTCATGATTCGAAAATAAAGATTTCTGATTAAAATTTGAATTCACTGAAGGTAATTTAAGCGCTCACAAGTAAATGCAAAATGAGATTCTCTGAAAATGTTAGAAATATGAAATGTAAAATGAGATTCTCTGAAAATGTTAGAAATATGAAAATGTAAAATGAGATTCTCTGAAAATGCTAGAAATATGAAAAGGCAAAATGAGATTCCCTGAAAATGTTAGAAATATGAAAATGTAAAATTAATTCGGGGAAAACGCTCTGATGCAAAATAGGGAAACAAAAGATATTGCGAAAATACAAAAAGCTTATTCAGCATAGGATAAAAAATATCAAAAGATTATACCCAACAAAATAAGCGTCAAATTTAGTCTTTATTCATATAGTTTTCGGATTCGCATAAAACAATTAAATCTTTAAATTATTAAGTTATTATAAGTTAGCAAGTCTCACCAAAAGTTAGAAAGTTTCGACATATAACTGAAACAGAAACTGAAAAATTCTTTTTGACTAAAATTCTTAAACCTATAATGAATTTTTGATTGAGAAAAAATCAAACAGCAATAAATTTATGATTGGTAAAAAAACAAAAAATCTGTACAAAAAATATTTGAAAGAAAAAAATCTATAACTAACTAGACCTCAAAATAAAACTTTACATTGACAAATTAAAAAATTGATTTAAATGCAAGAGAAATATAAATTTTAAATATTGAAATTTCTGTGAATGATTGATTGGTTCCTGTCCAAGAAGTTTAACAGCTGGTCCCATGAAGCTGTGCAGAACAAACATATTAAATCCTCAGTGTTATCATTCAACTCAACCGCACATGTCTTTCTTTGTGTACACCATGTACCATGTACAATGTACATTGTTCATATATTTTTTATCTGAGGCCAGATTTAAATAATTCAAACCGCGTCTCTAAACCGCCAAAAACCGGTTCCAAATCTTAACACACTAAATTGAATTTCAAGTCGAATCAACCATATTTTAGCCGCGTTTTAAAGACACACGGCTCAAATTCTTTAAATTCGGCCTCAGGATGCATTAAAATTCAGATTGATAAGATTTTCTTAAAAATTTATCCCCCCCAGGAAGCTAAAAAATACGCCATTTTTTTATCTTATTAAAACATTCAAAACTCATGAAAAATAATTTGAATTTGGAAACTTTGAATATTAAAAATGGAGATTGCTACTTCAAAGCCTAGTCACTGGTCTTTTTGATTTTTTTATCCATAAAATGTTATACATTTTCTCCACAAAATCATTTGTTCCAAACCAAAAAACAAAAACTTAGCAATATAAGTCCAAAAAATTAGGGATGAAAAACATCATTTGATTTGAAACTGCTTTACATATTTTTGTAAATAAATTCTGGAAAGTTCCTTTCTTTGAATTTAGAAAAAAACTACATTTTTTTTTGATTTTCTCGAAAGATAAATCTGCTGGTTGAGTTAAATTCCTAAATGGAAGATTGAATAGTGTGAGAAAGCTGAGAGAAGCATTGGTAGACAAGTAGCTTTTCCTGCAGGGTTCGAAGCAAACCATTTTAACATGGTTACCTTCACATTTATATAAATATCATCTTACACAACTATGTTTACTTGTACAACATCAGTTTCGGGTCCAGAAAAACTATTTTGAAATCATTGGAAAATAAATGAGAAATGGTGATACAAAGATCCCAAATAGAACCCAAAAGTTATTTGCATCTGTACATTTGTTTGTTTGCATTAGTAAGTTCGGAGTTTTAAAAAAACAGATATTATTAGTTTTAAACAATTTTATATTAAATTGCCTGAAGATTAGGTATCCTCCACGCAGCAAATACTGAAAAATATTCTTTTTTTTCAGTAGCCACTAATTGTGGTGCTAAATGATCGATACGACAGGACATCACTTTAGGAATTTTGATGACACAAAATGTTATATTTAACCAATTTGCATTATCATAACCAGGTGTTTTTTTTTATACTGTGATGGGCTTTGCATTATTATTATTATTAAAATTCCCAGTAATTAATTAATTTTTAAAACTTTTCTACAAAAATGTTTTCCTTATAATTTTCCCAGTAATTTTTAGGTGTTGACTTCTTCCCCCCCCCCCTTAATGACNTCCTGGTTCCTCTCCATACATTTGTAGGGTATAACTAAAAAACTTACCAAGGCAGTTTAAGGCACAAATAGGTATAAAAAGTTTGTCCGCATGAGGTAAACTTTTCCACCATTGTCGGAATTCCTCCCTTGGTCATTCAGCTGAAACAACTTTTTTAAAACAATTTTATAAATTTGCCAAATTTCGATATCCACTGTGGACTCTTATGATTTCTAATTTCTTGTAACTTTACTTTAATAAAAAAATTTTATAACAAAGGTAGTAAAAAGATCATAAAAACTGTAATTGAAACAAAAAAGAATGTTAAGAACTTCCTTAAAAAAACCCCACATAATCCTAAATAACACAAGGCAGTTGTATGAACAGATATTCTATTGTTTTAGCTGAATATTCCTAAGACTGCCAGCTTTCCTGCCCAACAATTCATTTCTCCAACCCAATATTCTAGATCGTCTAAAGTAATATTAAGGTTACTCTTCAATAAACAAGCATGAATTGAATAAGTAAAATAACTTTATAAAAATGAAATAGATTAATAATTTAAATTACTCAGAATCATTGCATCGAAAATCTTGCTTTCAAGTTTTTAAATTTATTATTGCTGAATTATACAGTTTAGGGTAATTAAAAGATTAAATTAAAAAATTCTATGAATTTTTGGTGTAAGAAGTTCAAAAAGGATTTTAAACACCTTACAAATTGAACTCCAACTATAAGAAATAAATAAACAATAAATACTTGTAGATGTGCAAGGGAACTGTACACTCAAAACCTTTGAAAATCATTTCTTAATAACATAACCCCTGTTTTAAAGTAAGGGACGACAAATCCTAACAAATTTGGATTTTTTTTTCGACATTATTTCGATCAAAACTAGAATAATAACATTTTGCATTTATGATTTTAAAAATATTTTTACTTAGCAGCCTCTCTCATATTTTCGTACTGCCATATTGCACAGCCAGCCAGTGTACCTCCACAGAAAACAGCGCTGAATACCACAGGTCTATACAAGGAACAGATGTTAACAAACATAAGAAGAAATTTATAAGTCTCCTTCTTCCCATTTTGAGGAGCTCCGACCCACAGCGGAGGTATATAACTAGTTTTAAGATTGTAAAGAGTAAAGACAAAAGGTGATCGAAAAGGGGCATCACAGTTCTAGCGCCTATTCAACATGGGCATACAAATCAAGGGTGCTGTGGGCCATGATGGTACCGTGCCCCCCCCCCCCCCCCCCCCCCAATACAATTTCACATTTTACGGGATTAATCCCCAAATCTCACCATCATTCTAGCCATTTGCTCCCCTACCCCTAATTATGCATTGATTCCAGGTGGGAACGTTCAAAAAAAGTCTATTGACTACAGATCAATTGACCTCAGTCTTCCTCCACCCCTATCCGGTGTGCAGTGACTTCTTGGATTTTGTCTCATTACCTTCCTAGAGCCTTAAACCCAACAGCAGGAAGGTTTCCATCCTCTATTACTGGTTGGGAACCTAGATCTTTTTCTCCGGGTTTTCTCCTAGATAATTTAGTAATTTACACGAGTTCTCCTTCATAATTTATACGAGTTCTCCTAGATAGTTTACAGGGTTTCTTCTAGATAAAATGCAGGGTTTCTTCTAGATAAAATACAGGGTTTCTTCTAGATAAAATACAGGGTTTCCCCTAGATAATTTACATTTACAGGGTTTCTTCCAGATAAAATACGGGGTTTCTTCTAGATAAAATACAGAGTTTCTCTTAGATAATTTACAGGGTTTACTCTAGATAAAGTACAGGGTTTCTCCTAGAAGTTGTTTTCTAGATAAAATACTGGTGGTCTCCTAGATATCTCATAGGGTGGAGCTCTAAATAATCTAGAGATAATATTTATTTAATTGTTTATCTCTGGGCCGTACATAAAATTAAGAATTAAGTGCCCTGTTTAAGAAAAATTTCAAGAAAATAATTGACAAGTTAATTGAAAAAAATATTTAACTCTGGCTAAATTAAAAAAACATATTAAGTTCAGCTGAAAAAAAACATTATGTTCAGTTAAACGAACAATAATATTAAATACAGTTAAATTCAAACAATTTATAGTTCAGTTGAGTGAAATAAAGTCCCATGATTAATAAGTTATATAACGTATTCTAAAGATATATGGATATATGGAGTGATTGTTCTTTATTTGGAAATACATAAATAAGACAATTTTTCGGAATTATGGAATGAGACGGACTTCCCTTATAGTTTTAACCATTTCAACACAATGTTAGGCATAAAAAGCAATGTTATGACATTTTGCGATATTTATTAATATATTTTGATTTGAAAAACACATTAAAAATTATCTATGTCTCGAGTAAATGTTAATGGTTTGATTTGAAAGGAAGACGACATTCAAGAGGAAAGAACCACCTTTTTTGCCTTTACTCCCATTAATATACATTTTAGAACTAAACATGTGTTTAATAAATGTCAACTAATAATTTTTACAGTTTTAACATTGCTTTTTATGTCTGATATTGTATTAAAATGTCTAAAACTTTAGCGGTCGAGTCCGTCCCATGCAAGACTCCATGCAGGACACCGGACTTCAAAAATTATAATTTGCTTTACGAGTCTCGTCAAAGACTCAATAGTAAATCTAACGAAAGTTATCGGATGATTTTTGGGTCTAATGGCCCTAGGCGGAAAAATATGTTAATAAGCCATCTTGTAAAGTCTGTTGAAGACTTAATTAATGTTTATAGTTAATTATTTTATTCAAGCAAAGTACGAATCATGTAGCATATTAACCTACTAAACTAGATAAGTAAAAGTAACTCCTAAATCTGTTTTTGATGATTCAGAGCTCATAAGAAAAATAAGAAACTAATATAGGTTAAATTTGCTGCGTAGGGTCCAGACATTTATCCTTATGTTGCAGAACGTTAATGACATTATGACATAAGCAGTAAATGGTCGACATAATAACATACTCAAACTTCATTTTTGATAGGCAACCCATTCAGGGGGGGCTAAGGAGGTTTAATAAAGATTAAAAACGTCTAAAAATTTTAACGTTCAAAAGTTTTAAAAATTCTATGCCGATAAAATTTCTATGTTTTCCAAGAAGAAGCACTTAATTCTGACATAATTGATACATTTCTTCCGATAGTTGAACAATTAAATAATAAATAAGTATATCGAGGTTTCCGGGTCAAATTAAACATTAGTCTTACTTTGTTCTGAAACACCTGGTTTGAAGAAGATCACAGGGTTTTATCTGTTTAAAAATATACATAGAGCTGTCAGTATAGGATAGTTATTAACTACCATTAAGCCAAGGATAGAAAACTAAATAGCTTAAGTGGAAAATATTTTTGATTATCCAGGGCTAAATAATTATTTGAGTTTTGACTGTCGTGATTCAAGTTTTTTTATGTTTAATCATCTGAGGCCGAATTTAAAGAATTTTAACGAATAAGAGACAATAGAATTAGTTATTATAAAATCAGGTTTTAAGGTTTAATTAAAAAACGATTAATGAGTAGTTGTTAGAAGGATGGTGGCAACCGGGTCGGTAAGCAAAACTGCGGGGAAAAAAGGAAATGTAGTAATCAAGATTTAATATTAAGACGGCTCATATCGATGCCTGAATTGGTTTAGCCAACTTCAAACACAGCCGGCCTAAAACTGACATTTTCAATCTGAAAAAAATATAAGTAAATTAAATGCTTGACTCAAATCAGATTCCTCCTTCGGGTCCCTCTCCTCCCGGCACCAGCATCGTGATGTTGTTCCCATTGAGGAGGATCTTGTCGAGCTTGGTGACCCGCCTGCCCTCGCTCGTGCTCTCGTACTCAACCACGTCCTCCAGCACCATGTTCACGAAGGGATCGAAGCCGAGCAAGGTTCCAACTATCTCCTAGAACAAATTCTTGACTTTTGATCTCAGAATTCAGGATGTTTATCTTTATTCTAGATTTCTAAAATGAAAGAAATTGAGTCTTTGCCACAAACTCATTATTTTAAATTCTTTCATCTTGGCCACCCAAATTCGTGGACATTTGATATTTTAAAATTAGATTATTAGATTTTACAGAATTCATAGTTTAAAATATCTAAGGTCTACGACATTGCAGGGTTGCCAAGATTAGAGTTTATGGTGAAGACTCGAAATCCTTTGTATCACTCATATTTTATGTTTTGTTGGGTTGGTATAACGCCAATGATTGTAAAAATTTGGGAGGCCTAACAAAAACAGATGCCGATTGCCTATTGCCTAAAACCTAATATGCTCGTTACTTTCAAAGAATTTTTAAAAAATTAATTGATACTATTCTTACAGAAATTCGTTTTTACCATGGTAAAAAAGATATCCTAGATTTCCTAGAATATAGGGGGGNGATACATCAACCAAGAATTTGTTCCTTGTCGTTTTTCATGATGATATGGATCCTGGAGCCGATGGCCTTGTCGACCAGCTCCAAAGGGAGCAGTGTGTTGGCGGGTACTGCAGCGGCTCCACTCATTCTTATCTTAAAACATGAAAGTTCTAGCCGCAGAGTTTACACATTTTATTCTTTTCAGAGATTACAAAGTTTTACAGAGTACAAGGTACTGCAGCTTTCAGACATAATGTACTTAAACTCCTAAGTACAGGGAGTAACTTGATATTTGATAGGTAGCATAGCACACAAAAAATAAATACGGTTTTAAAAGAGCACCTAACTAGCAAACCTAATATAAATTTTAATATTGCTCCAAGTTAATATATCCAATTTGAAAAAACAGTTCAAAACTTACAAAAATCTGAGCATTATAAACTTATAAAGAAAGCTTGTATTTTTTAACCGAATTTTTCCATGTTTTACAATCATTGACGCAGAAGGGTTTGCCTGAAAACATGTGTTCTATCATCATCTATGACACTCAAATATATTAAAGTAGAACGCACAGGTGCAAAATTCTACTACATTGATTATAGAAAGAGAAATTATGATTTGCTCCATTTCATGCATTCTTAATCTTAATATTTCACCATGATGTACAAACAAATTTATTGCATAGTCAAAGATAAACAAGTGAACAGTCAGCTCTGAAATCGGATTTTCACTGTTTCAATGCCGCGTCAGATTTGCTATAAACGTCCGTGTCTGTTGGGAGGGAGCCGGTTGGCGGTGCGTAGGGACATCCCAGGAACTGATCGGCGATTCTTCCCGCCTCACGTAGCCCAGATAACAAGGCGCCATGAACTGTAGCAGGGTAGTTACGGATAGTGTGTTCACCGCCGAAAAAAATTCTTGGCGGGTTTTTGATCATATCGTTCCCCTTGCCGGGGTTGCCAGGGATGATGGGGGTTGCCAGGATATCGTAATCGTTCCCAGAGGAACCTAGAGGAACCAATCTTTACCGGCAATTCAATAATATTCAAGAATATGATTTAATGAGAAATATTTTTAATCTATTACTGGATTAAAGCGTATTTTATTTTACTTGCTTAGAACCGCGACAAAAATTTACACTCTTTAAATAGTGCGCATTAAGAGCCAAATTAAAGATATTTAATTGCATTATTTTTCTGGACCGCGAAAAGTAAAATAAGACAAAATAGAATCTAAAAAGAGCGCTGAACGCTAATATATCGGTAAAAGATCAATTTCCCTGTTGACACGTAGCTGTAGCTTCCTCTAGACCAAGGGTCAGCTCGCCACCTCGTTACAACAGTCTCCTTTGGGGTTGGAACATTGGTAGTTCCAAATATTCCTTAAACAAGGAAACTATTATACGATTGTTTTAAGTTGTTTTGGACTGAAAACGTAATTTAAAGGGACTCTCCAATGGTAGAAAAGCCTGTCACAATTCACAACGGTACCCTTTAACATTTATTTTCAGTCATTCTCTATGAATGACTTGCGCTTACATGCAGAAAAAAATTGGAAGAAACAATCAGAACTGAGAACTTTCTAAGATAGAATAACTCGGATTAACTGCTAGAAAATTTTTACTCACATATAGGCCAAAAGGAACAATTGCAGAATCTCTTTTTCAAAATTTGTGTTAATGTCTTATAAGCATAGAAATTGAGCAGGAATAGTCTTGTTAGGAGTACCTTTTAGTACTGCAATACATCTCCCTACAATGACGTCATCGGAAACATTTTCCATAATTGCAGCAGCCTCTCCTGCTACCAGAGCCAACAGAACCGGAGCCTGAACAATCAATCATTCAATCATTATAATCATCCATAATCAAAATATTCACCCAACAATCAATCAATCAATCATTATATTCATCCAGATATCAATATATTCATCCAACAATCAATAAACCAATCAATATTTTCACCCAACAATCAATAAATCAATCAATATATTTATCCGGATATCAATTTATTCATCCAACAATTGATCAATAAGTATATTCATTCAATAATCAATATATTTATTCAACAATCAATTTATTCATCCAGCAATCAGCAATCAATATATTCATTCAATAATCAATATATTCATTCAATAATCAATATATTCATTCAACCATAAATATATTCTTCCAAAAATCAATATATTCATCCAAGAATCAGGTTCAGTAACTTCTATAGCTGTAAAACAGGGGTTAAAAGCGCCCTGTCGCCTAGTTAAATATATTTCTACCTTATACAGGTTCCAGAAAAGGAAAAGCTCTCCTCTGCTAGCAGTTGTGGATCCTACATGTCCGAATAGATTTGAACTGTTATCCCAGAATATACGATCAAAACACAGAACAACCTGAAATTGTAAAATTGTAAATTCAAAAAATAAATAATAAAATTAGATTTGTAGAGAATCTAACAGGGCCAACATTAAACACACTGCCTAACCATAGATAAATAAATAAACATAGATAACTTGTGTACGCAAAATCACCAAGAATTGTACAGTCCGCGAACTCATACTTCTAGGGGTCAAAGTGTACTTTAATGATAAGCAGGGTGGTTTGGTGTTTTAATGGATTTCATAATAGAGTGTAAAATAACTACGGGATTGGAATTGTTTGAACAACAATATTTCACTGAGCAATATATCATATTGACGAGAACTGAAGATGGACATGAGAAGGACTAAACTAACTTAAATTTCTCTCTACAGAACTCATGTACACCACAAGTACTCAATGACATAAGAACGGTCAATGTTCACAACCGACCTAGTTAATCTATATAATAGGAATATCTTTAAAACATCTCTGTACGTTTATATCTTTCAAGATGAAAAATGTCGTCTTATGCGCAATCTATCTTTATCTATGTGCCTAACTTCAAGGCACAATGCAAAACAAATTTTTTTCTCTCTCTTTAAAATTGTTTAAAAGGATTTTAATCGAATTTTAAAAACTTGTGAGTTATTCGGTATTAACTTAGAGATTTATGTCAAGCAATATGTTTATTTTGTCTCCCTACCATTAACGTTGATTAAAAAATTGATGGAAACCAAAATAAATGGTTTTAAAAATATCCCATAATTGCATGTAAAAATACTATTTTCCATAAATAACAATGTTTTGATACAAAATTTGCATATCAATTATAAATATGCATCTCTATTAGAAATATAATCTTATTGCCATCAAATTGCCAATAAACACCACTCAGGTTCCCATATCCAATTCTCTGGGTCCTTTATACCCCCCCTGACTCCTGTTGAACACCTGCATTATTCAGGTTCCCATATCCCTGTCTCTGGATCCTATATACCCCCCCCCTGACTCCTGTTGAACACCTACCTTGTTCAGGTTCCCATATCCCAAGTCTCTGGATCCGATATGTATAACCCCCCCCCTGAATCCTGTTGAACACCTACCTTGTTCAGGTTCCGATATCCCAGTCTCTGGATCCTTTATGTATACCCCCCCTGACTCCTGTTGAACACCTACCTTGTTCAGGATCCCATATCCCAGTCTCTGGATCCTATATACCCCCCTCTCCCTGTTAACACCTACCTTGTTCAGGTTCCCATATCCCAGTCTCTGGATCGCTTCCGTTTTCCACTCCGGAAGCGGAGGATTGAATGAAACCATATTCGGGGCTCCTAAACATACATAATCTTTATATATACTTTGCTTGTTTGTTCGTTTGTCCGTTTGTATACAAAACGTCAAAACGGCCGAACGGATCGGGTTCCAGATTATAATTGAACTATTATTTTAGGATAAACTGCAGCCTAAAAGAAGAAGGCTAAACCAGTGTGATCCACTCAAGAACTATATATGCAGGATGATTAAACAATCAAGAACATTCCCTTTAATCTTGTCAATTTTCAAGTTAAAAGAACATCAAAATGTAATTTTAGTTTGTATTTTAAAAAACTAAGAAATAATGTAAACCATATTTTTATTGAATTAAAATAATATTGGCACATTTTAAATGTTAAAACTGTAAACATGTAATGTTTAATCCCAAGCTTTTATGGTAAATAATGATCGTCATGGAAGATCAAGATCGGTAATCTACGAAATCAAGGAAGAATTGCAGTCTGCAGTGTTCACAGGACACACTTAAAGGGTTATTATCTAATAAACCTAATCTACATTAACTCTGTAATATCCACAATGAAAACTATTGTTGCTCATAGTTCTTTACATTCGCAGAAGAAATTATACTGACACACGGAGAACAGACAGAAGACATTTGGATCAGTGTGCGAGAAAACCAAAACCGCCATCAAATGTAAGATTCATATTAGAAAGCTTGGGACACCATCATATTTCGTAAAATATTCTCATGTGCCTTTTGAAACAGATGTTTTAGACTTTTAAAAAGTTCTCATGTAATGCTTCAAATCCTTTTATCTGGTCGTAACATTTCGCCAGAGATCACATTTTGAAATATTGGATTTTAATGTATTCTGTCAAACAACATTATCTGGTCACAACATTTTACCATTCATCACATTTCATAAATATAAGTTTATAAACAATACATTGGTTACAAATATTTATGCACTTCTATTGTTCCGACCCTGAAAATTAAATTGAGAAAACGCCAAAAGTTGGAAAGTGCACACAGATTTTGTGTGAGACCTCAAATGACCCCAGGGAAAAATCCACAAAAAAAGAAGAAAATCCGGAATTTTTTTTATTTTTTTTTATCGAAGAGATAATGTTAAAAGATTGAGCAGCATTAGAAGTTGAAAAAGAAGATGGGCACGAAGCGCTTAGTAATAAATATATAAAAAATTCCCGCATGAGCGAGATAAAAAATGAAGAAAAAATACTTTAGAGAAATTGCAAATAATTGCAAAAATTAGCATTAACCTTCATTTATTTTCTTAAAAGTGTAAAATAATAATAAGTGCAGTAACGTTTAGTTCTTGGAAATCATTGTTTAGAAAATAATTGAACGGAGAACTAAGAAGATAATGTAAAACTGGAAAAAACATTTCATGAGAAAACCATAATGACGTAAATACACAGTTGAATTAATAAATGTCCAGTGTTGAACCCCCTGTATTCACCTGTTTGGTTTGGAGCAATAGCCTGCTTGAGAACCCCGAGGGGTAGAGTGCAGAGTACTGCGTCTGCCTTGTATGAGACGGGGTTTGTGTTGTTCCTGGCATTGCTGGTGGTCACCTCACAACCGGTTCCTGTGTACCGGACCTGCCGTACTGCAGTATTCAACTTTATATCCAAACCTATAACAACCAATATTAGATAAACATTCTTCTCTCAAAATACAGGAAAATTGTGCATTTGTGCTGAACACTTAATATTTGGTGAATAGAAAGAATATGATAATCTTATGAAGAAAAAATGTAATAATGGAAATTCTTAACCAAGAGGTTCCGGGATATGCGAGATATGGTGACTGCTGACTCAGACTGATGGGACAAATCGACCTCTTTATTCTGTCTAATTTGTTTAAATATTACAACTGAATTTGGAATTTTTGAAACCCTTTTTATTCTTCAGTATCCAATTATAAAGTGAAAAAACAATTGAGTGAAATTGTCAAGAATGACAACCTTTCCATTTTTGAAAAGCTCTGACCGTACTATTACAAGTTTGTAAAGAAGAAAAACTAAAAATAGTTGATTAAGTATGTTGCGAGGCTCGGAAGTTTGATGAAAAGGTCCAATGTAATGCTAAAAGCATTGTTCTTTTTTTTTGGAAAGGTAAAAAAATGATAAATAAACACAGGGGGTTCCACTCTTCTGTCAGGACTAAGGTTAAGATTTAAATGGATATTACTGAATTCAGGTATATCAATACTTCAAAAAACGGAAAAGGTAAGTGAGCATGTTTTACGTAAAGTAAAAAAGGTAAGTTTGCATATTTTAATATTAAAGGAAAAGGTAATTGAGCATGCTGTTTTAAAGTATAAAAAGGCAAGTTTTCATGTTTTAATAATAAAGAAAAAAATAAGTGCGCATGTTGTTTTAAAGCATAAAAAGGTAAGTTTGCATGTATTAATATAAAAAAGGTTAGTTTGCCCTGTGCATGTTGTCAGAACAAAATAATTTAGTTAATATCAGTATTGATCTATGTTGAAAAGATCAATATAAGGAGCGTGTAAGAATGAATATCTTCAAATAGTGTAAGAATTTCCATTCTTTAATGCTCGGAGCGTGTAAGAATTTACATTCTTTCACGCTCTGACCATTTAATAATTTTCATTCTTGCACGGTCTGAGCGATACAGAAGGAAAATTCTACACCCGCAGTGAAAGAATAAGCATTCTTAAACGCAAGGAAGCGAACAATATTAAAATTGTTCCTCCTGAACCGTGTAATAATGGGAATTCTTACACGATAGATTTACTACTATGGAACCGAACAGATATGATATAATATGAAATCAATCTTTTCAGTGGAACATAAATAACAATTTGAAATATAAAATATATCATCATTTTGTTTGTATCATACATTCAGAAAAATGCACGGCATATGAATTATGAATATCGGTTTTTTACTTTTAAATATTATAATCTTCATTGACTGTTTAAATTCAGTAAGTGAAATGTTGAATTTTTACCTTCACTGAGAGAAACAGGAACACAGCTGTACCCATTCCGCACTGTTAAATGAGATCCTGAAAATATTATTGTTGGCAAAACTAAAAATAATAAAGAAGCACTAAAAGAGAAGGACCTCACCCACCTTTATTGGAAAATCCTTGCTGTGTACAGAGCGTGTAAAGGTTGATTATATTGATTTTCTTAAAAATTTAGTTTTAAAATAACGACTTAAAGATATCTTCTATTTAACCCTGTAAATATAAATTGAATTACATGCAGCCTTCAAAAATGACACTTTCAATTAATCTTTTGAAAAGCCTAAATATGGAGTAACGAATAAGTTTCCCGATTTCACAATTGGCTAAATCCCGAATGGCATTTCCCTCAAATTGTATACATTTGAGAAGTTAAAGTTAAGAGCTGGAAAAGGTAATGTTACATCGTATATACGCAACATCCCCCCTACTGAACTTCTGACCAACTACTGCAATATCGGACCTACGCCAGATGTTTATTTTTGTATTATTAGAGGGTTAGGTTAGGTTAAGACAATTTCTGGTCCGAGCGCCGCGGCTAAGACAGGCTAAGGGGCCGATTGTTGCGGCCACAAGTCCATATAGCAGCTGTAAAACCACGTGCTAGTAGGTCGGATGTGTAGTATGGCGGATATGGCGTAGGTTAGAAGTGGAGTATAGCGGATTTGCGTAGGTCGAAAAATATACAATCCTGGAAAATTGTACATTCGGAATGTTGTAGGGGAGGAAATTGTACTTTGGACGGTAGCCAATTGAGAAATTGATTATTTGCAGAGATTCGCCAGCAGGAACTTCACATTCAAAGCATTGCCGTTTGCAAACGGTATTAACATAAACTTTTGAAAAAAATTACGACTTTGGATATTATATTTGGGAAAGGGATTAACAATTCTAAAAAATATTTCATCCGACAAATCACTGAGTAAAGCCGAAGAAATTCAAATCATGAGGGAACTAAATATTAATCTGCTGAATCACACTTCTCACAATGCTACATCTAACTTTTTAAACACCCTGTTAACACATTCACTTCTTCCGCTAATTACACTCCCTACAATGTTAATTTCAAATTTGATCATTTTGTTGTTTTTAATCGCAAAATTTGATTATTTTCTTGTTTGTTTATCTCAAATTTGATTATTTTCTTGTTTGTTAATCTGAAATTTGATTATTTTCTTGTTTATTGATCTGAAATTTGTTTATTTTCTTGTTTGTTAATCTCAAATTTGATTATTTTCTTGTTTGTAATCTCAAATTTGATTATTTTCAATCGCGGTTCTCAATTAGAGTGACTTACTGATTTATGGAAAAAGTGAAAACCAAGAAAATGTGGAGAATTTATATATTTTAAAGAGAGGAAAATGATGAAGGGCTAGAAGTATCCTTGTGAATCTAACATGGAACGCTGTAAATTGTACGTTAAATCACGTCGGAAGTTCTGTAAAGCGCCATGGATTTTTAAATTTGATTTTTTTTATTCTAAAAGTGTAACTTTCAATTTCATCCAACCCATTCCTACTTAACTTAACCCCAATCAACCTAAGCTACCCAACCCAACAAATCAACAAAACCCCAAAAACCCACCAAACTCAACAAAATAACCAAGTCCGATCTGATTTAAATCATCTTATCCTCAACAAACCCCAGCCAACCCCTGCCAACACTATAAACCAACCCCAACCCGAGTCCACGTGTCACTGACCTTCTAGCTCCTGTAGTTTCTCGTCTAGTTCCTTCTCCTCCTGTATGAGCCTGTCGAACTCCTCAATACAGTTCTGCAGATCACGGGTCTTCGTCCTGAACGCGAATTCCTGCAACAATTATTAATTTATCTATTTTTATATTTTGCATGTCTGGGTGTGTGTTTTTCTCCCGTTTGTATCCAAAAAAACGTCAAAACGGCTAAACTTACAAAAAAATTTGATTATCGTAAAATTTATAAACAAACATAAATAAATGTGAACAACTAAACTTTGTATCACTAGGAACGTGAAATCACTAACGGTAATGGGCACTCGAATACCTTTGTACTTTAATACATATTTACTATTCAGTTATTATTTAAACCCAAAAAAATCATTTTAGAATTACATTTTCTTTTGCTGAAAATAAATCTTTTCTTAAGAAACGGGAGATTCCTGAGATTAAACTAAAGTTGCGGTTTATTTTTAAACATTAAAAATACAAACTTGATCTAAAAACTAATTTAGATAGAAAATTTACAAACTTGAATTTCATCTGACATCCTACGCAGTTTTATTTTCAAATTTAAGGAATATAAACTTTTTATATTTTTAATTTTTATGTACATATTTTTTTAATTTAGGGATGTAAATTCTCCTAAAAAGTTGTCCACCCTCCCCACAAGTTATTAGCTATTTTCAAACACAAAACAGTTGTATTGTAGTTGAATTGCATAAAATTATACCCCCCCCCCCCAGTCAATTCATATGCTACCTGAATGGTGTCTTTGTTGGTGAGCGCCTCAAGTTCCTTATAGTGCTTGTTCGCCTCAGCCAGCTTCTCCTTCATGGTCGACAACTTCGTCTGGTTTACCTACAACCAACAACATTAACATTCTATTCGGATTCCACAGATCATGAATCCAAGCCGAAAGTCTAAATGGAAAATACCCCCCCCCCCACCCCCCACCCCGTACTTAAGTTTTAACTTTACTGTAATTTAGCATGCCATAAAAACTACCCATACCAAACTTAGGATGCATAATAATCCGGACCCCGGATCCGGATCTGGTTCAGGATCCGGTCCGGATCTGGTTCAGGATCCACCTCATTCATTGATTTTTTCTGCAATTTTTAGATTCTTGTCTCTATTTATTAATTCAGAACTTGATTACACACTAAACAGTAAAATGTTATCAATTTTTATATCATTTGTCAATCTCAATTCAATCGACAGCAACTTCAATAGTTAATTTTCATCCGGTTCCTGGTTCTATGGATCACAAATGAAAACCGAAACTCAAAAGAGGCCATTGTACGAAAAATACTTAATCTATATATTAATAAAAATACCACTACCTTTTAAACTTGAATAATTCAATATGTCAACACAACAATTTTCAAACTAGACGATTGAGGACAACTTATAAAAAGTGAAAAGGTAAATATTAAACTGAATTTAATGAATATTTTGATGTCTCTGTTTTATATTAAAGATTAATTAAGTGTCGTATGGCTGTTAAGGCATTCATTCGTGACTATTATTGATCTGTTAAGGTGATAATAAACAACTTAACTATCCATCAAGACAAACTTGAAGTCAATATAAACAAGACACAGAATGTACTTTTTAGCAACATTCAAATTCAAGAAAAAAAACAAATATTGCTTCAATCCATTACCTTGAAAACTCGTTTATTCCCCCCCCCCTTTATATAAAAAAAAATGTAAATGTAAAAAAAAATATAATTTGAATAAGAACTAACACGGCGGAACGAAAATTGGAATATGAAAAACTCGTTATTGAAAAAGAGTGACATGATCATAAAGTTTGAAAAGTGATACTATAATAATTTCTAAGCTTTTCTAGGGAATAGTAAAGAAACGCATCGACTAAACTGTTTGCTTATTATATTTGAATTATATAAATCTGATTACCTTTAACTGCTCTTGAACTCCGATGATCTCCTTCCAATATTTCAATTGTTTCTCCTGAAATGTTCAAGAAATAATTATCAAATCAAAATTGATTTTTAAATCTGGAATACAGATTCAGTCTAAATAATAAGAAATGTAAATAATAAAAAAATGACCTTGACATTCTTCTCCTGGAGCTTTATGACCCACTCCATGGACTCCCCAAGGGAGACGGGGAGGTCGTTGCAGTAGTTGAAGTCCAGCTGGTGGCTCAGGTAGCTCGTCGCTTCAAGCAGACGATTGAACTCTCTCTCAACCATCTCGTCCTTATCCTACACAACAGGAGGACGATTAAACTCTCTCTCCCAACCATCTCCTCCTTATTCTACACTACAGGAGGACGATTAAACTCTCTCTCTCAACCATCTCCTCCTTATTCTACACAACAGGAGGACGATTAAACTCTCTCTCTCAACCATCTCCTCCTTATTCTACACTACAGGAGGACGATTAAACTCTCTCTCTCAACCATCTCCTCCTTATTCTACACTACAGGAGGACGATTAAACTCTCTCTCTCAACAATACATATACAGTAGGGTGACACATGAAGATTGAAAGGGGTTCAACATTTTTTTGGGGGACCTAGGTTCCAATCTATGGCCGGGTGATGTGGCCCAATATGAGCATTGAGCATTTTGTAAAAATTCTAGGTTGATTGGAGCATTGCATCAGGTTTTTCGGCAAAACCTTGATTTGTTGTGTAGATCAATGACCGGCGATCCCGAATTTTCTTTGTAATTTGGTTAGATGATCACAATTGGAGACTATACGTAGTATTTCAGCCCCCCTATTCTCAACAAAAATCGAGATTTTTTACTGACACTAGTAGTTCTTTTGATAACTGACCTTGGGAACCGTAGTTCCGTTGCTCTCGTAGAGAGGACACTTCTGGCTGATCTTGGAGAGCTCCATATTCACCTGCTTCGACAGAACTGTGATAGGGTTCCCACCTAGTCCTAATAAATATTTCATAAAATATGGATGTTTTCTGAATATGGATTTATCTTAATTGTTTTTGACAAAAATCTACAAGAACATAAGAACATTTTATTTAGAAGCTTTCAAGGAATAAATCATCCTTTGGAATTTTCCATACGCGATCTTTTCATTTTTCAAAATATTAAAAATAAAAGTTCATCGATAAACGCCCCCTAAAAATCTCACGATCATTTGAAATTAAGCCGAAAATCACGTAGAGAGGCTGTAAGAGTAATTTCAAGTGACCCACCATGCAAAGATAACAATGCTCGATTGACAACGAACCCTTAAAAGCTTTGTCTGGTGTCAATCTTAATTATTTCTAAAACTGATTATTTTCAATAGTGGTTTCTCTACAAAAGTGACAAAAGTGACTATTTCAGGCGAACATGAGGGTATTATTAGAATTAAACACTTTTAAACCTATAAAACGAAAATATCTTTCCACATTGTTGGGGATGAGGTGAGGTGAGGGGATGAGGTGCAGTGGGTGGGTGGGGGTTGGGGGAATTTAACAAATTTCAAGGAAACCATCTCTGAATATCTTTTTATGAAAATTTTAAGCTAAAACTTAGTTTCTTAAGAGTTTACCTGTAACCACCATAGCTCCTAGATCTGCGATATAAGAACCCTTCCTAAATGTTGCAATCCTCCCTCCGACCCTATCCCGGGCTTCCAGCACAACAACATCCATTCCAAAGGATTTTAGCTGCTGAGCAGCAGTTAGTCCAGCTATACCAGCTCCTAGACATCGACATCGACATCGACAATATCATCAACATCAACATCAACAAGAACATCAACAAGAACATCAACAAGAACATCAACATCAACATCAACATCAACATCAACATCAACATCAACATCAACATCAACATCAACATCAACATCAACATCAACATCAACATCAACATCAACATCAACATCAACATCAACATCAACATCAACATCAACATCAACATCAACATCAACATCAACCATCAAACATCAAACATCAAACATCAAACATCAAACATCAAACATCAAACATCAAACATCAAACATCAAACATCAAGCATCAAGCATCAAGCATCAAGCATCAAGCATCAAGCATCAAGCATCAACATCTACATCTACATCAACATCAACATCAACATCAACATCAACATCAACATCAACATCATATATCAATAAAAATGCAAACCTATAATGACGACCTTCCCGGACTTCTGTGGTAATGGTTTAGTTCTCTTATATATCCCAAAGTTAATGTATCCATGTCTCTCTAAGAATGCATGAATCCTAATCACCATCTGCTTGTCAGAGTCCCAGGGGGGTTCCAGCCTGGACAAGGTGGTCTCCGAACACAACTGGAGCTTTGGGTTTTCCAACCACATCTGCAGAATCCTAAAATTCAATAAATGTTATCAGATGGATTATCAATTAATAAACAAATAAACGGAATATAAATATCAAGACAATCAAGAAAATGACCTCGTAAGATTTAAATACCACAGCGTGTATCACTGTAGTGTATACAGTTATGATTTGTTGACTCATAATTCAAACTTTATATATTTTCAAAAAGAAGGGGCGGGGAATGAATTTTGATTAAAAGGCAAATTTTTACCCCTCTTAGACAAGTTTAACTCAAAAATTCAATTATTTTCACCGTAGGAGGGGANATGACCATTAAATGGTAATTTACCTGTTTCTAATGTTGATAAACAGTTTCTGAGATTGAACAGGAGTAACTAAGTCGGGGAAGCAGGCTGCTTCTATCTGGGTCATCTTATCAAAGGGTACACGGGACTGGAAAGCAGCTCCCTCCAAACCTAGATTTCATTTATCAATCAATACAATGAGCGTTGCGGTAACTTTAATCTCCTAAAGAATGAGACTAACTTTAAGCTTTTTTGATTGATAACTTGAAGAAAATCAAGGTTCACTGCTTAGTATTCGAACCCACACCTTACTGCTCCCTGGATCCGAATCCAGGGGTTCAAACACACCTAAAGCTATCCAGTTGTACTGGAACCAGATTTAATGAAAACAGAGTAGTTGAACTAAGTAGAAGTAAATTAACCTTTTCTTATGTGTGCCAATTTAAATTGAAGAGAAGTAGTTCAACTAAGTCTCCGATATTAAAGCACTTTAGCATTAAATTAAGTCCCTGAATCAAGGATCCGGATCTTTATCAAGATAAAACCGGATCCTAAGCAGTGAGTAAAACATGATGAATGATAAATCTATTTCTCTACCTGTTGGTTCAACAGGGAGTCCCATCAGATCATCCTTTACGCTGTCCTTTGTCACTTCCTTCACCTCATCCTCGCTGTCCTGAACAATTTTTAAGGGGCTTTAAAATACAAACAACGGTTCATAAGAGCAACTTCTATAACAGGCCATCATGTAAACTGTATAGACCTTGTCTGCCCTTCTTATGAAAAACTATCAAGGGTTTAAAGATAAAAAATATTTTAGGATTTTTAAAAACATTTTGAATTTTATGATTAACCAAAATTAAAGTTTCGCGTAAGGTTACGCAGTAGACCCTGAATTTCTATTTTACCTCTTTCTTGGCTGAGATTATCTTCTCCTCGTTGTAGTCGACCTTGGCCTTCTTTCTGGTCTCCCTTCCCTCCCCCGATACATCTCCATCCGCAGCTCCACGCTTAGATCCACCCTCCATTATCCTGTCAATTAAACAATCATATATTTTATTCATCAAATTATCTCTGTCGATCAAGCAATCATATATTTGATCACTCATATCATGATAGTCAATCAATCAATAAATCAATCAGTCAATCATAAATTTGATCCATCATATCCCCACAGTCAATCATTCAATCAATCAATAAGGGGGGGGGGCCACAAAACGTATTACTCTCCGGAAAATTTAAACAGTGGTTAAACATAACTTAGAATTGTCGTAGGAGGCTGATTTTTTGCATGCAAACTCAGAATTATGTATATTACATGCATTTTTTGGTTTTGAAGGAATCTGAGCAAAAGTGCGCGCGCGCGCGCGCTTTTTGGGAAAAAATAGAAAAATTAATGATTTAAATTCAGAAGTAAATTGTTAACAGTTCTTATTTTATTTGCGTTTTTCGTTTAGTTTACGTCATTTCATTTTCGAGAACGATGTCACGGGCTAGTTTTCATTAACTTTGTTTGGATTCTAAGAAATATGCTAAAATACCAATTTGAAGATGTTTTCCGGTATGTCCTCGAATTTGGTAGGATAAACCACATAGTAGTAGGTCAGAATGCTCTGCTTGTGATTTACTCCACCTAGATGGATTCTTCATTCCTGTGGTCTAATACCTAAACCCTGATATACAACCTGAACAAACTTTAGAAAAACTATGATAGGTGGACCCCGTAATTACCCTATGGCCAGCAGCGCGCCGATCAGAGTTCTAAAACTTAATTTTTCTTACCTAAGAAAGAGAATCCTTGTTTCTAGTACCCCAGAATCGACATACTACATGCAAAACATATGACAGGATGACCCATAATGTAACTACCGGCTACTGGCGCGCCGGTCAGAATGCTCGAATATTTATTTTGACCTCAGAAATGAATTCCTCATGCCAAATTACCTTTAAATCGACATACAACATGTAAATATGTGGGAAGATAACCCATAATGTAACGGCCGGCTACTAGCGAGCCGGTCAGAATGCTCTAATATTTATTTTGACCTCAGAAATGAATTCCTCATGCCAAATAACCTATAAATCGACATACAACATGTAAATATGTGGGAAGATGACCCATAATGAAACTGCCAGCTACTAGCGCGCCGGTCAGAATGTTCTCATATTTATTTTGACCTCAGAAATGAATTCCTCATGCCAAATTACCTATAAATCGACATACAACATGTAAAAAATGTACTAAGATGACCCATAATGTAATGGTTGGCTACTAGCGCGCCGGTCAGAATGCGCGCACTTTTGCTCAGATTCCTTCAAAACCAAAAAATGCATGTAATATACATAATTCTGAGTTTGCATGCAAAAAATCAGCCTCCTACGACAATTCTAAGTTATGTTTAACCACTGTTTAAATTTTCCGGAGAGTAATACGTTTTGTGGCCCCCCCCTTTATCTAATCTATCATATCATATCATTCAATCAATCAATCACTCATATATTTTTTGCCATCATATCATCATAATTATCAGTCAATCAATCATATATTTGTTAAATCATTTCATCAAAGTCCATCAGTCAATCAATCAATAATATATTTGATCTATCATATCACCACCATCCATCAGTCAATCAATCAATCGTATCACCAGTCACCACAAGCTATCAGTCAATCAATCAATCGTATCACCATTAAATAAATTCATCAAATCAATCAAATGCTTTAACTTTCATATCTTTAAGAATTGACGTAGTCAGTCAATTGATCAATCAATTGGCCCATAAATCAATCAATTGGCCCATAAATCAATCAATTGGCCCATAAATCAATCAATTGGCCCATAAATCAATCAAACCTTCATCGACTTATAATTCGGTGATGGTGACGGACCAAACCTCTGTAGAGTAAAAAAGTAGATGTTAGTTCCACATTTATTGAGATATGACATGTCAAAAACCAACTATTGTTATCTTTTACCTATTAGATCATAATCAACAATAGATTGACATTTATTTAATGAAGGGAAATTAATCTAACATTCAGCATTCAATTAACCAAATTATTTACCCATGTTTTGAGGGAGAATCTTTCTTATTTTTCCCATCGTCAATTGGAACCTCTTCTATTTCAGGTTTATCACCCATTTTTCTGAAATAAATTTTTCAATTTTCATCAATTTGAGATTTTTCCCACTTCACTTCAGAGAATTCTCTTCTAACACCCAGCTTGTTTAGTGTATCACATTTAGAAGGTTTCACTCAAGCACATTTCGCTTTTATTTTCCTTTTTTTCTGTCTTTATCTAGCTACAATCTGTATAACTAAAGCTAGAACTATCTAGTTACTATCTGTAGAACTAGAGCTAGAACTGTCTAGTTACTATCTGTAGAACTAGAGCTAGAACTGTCTAGTTACTATCTGTAGAACTAGAGCTAGAACTGTGTAGTTACTACCTGTAGAACTAGAGCTAGAACTATCTAGTTACTATCTGTAGAACTAGAACTAGAACTGTCTAGTTACCATCTGTAGAACTAGAGCTAGAACTATTTAGTTACTATCTGTAGAACTAGAGCTAGAACTGTCTAGTTACTATGTGTAGAACTTGAGCTAGAACTATCTAGTTACTATCTGTAGAACTAGAACTAGAGCTGTCTAGTTCCTATCTGTAGAACTAGAGCTAGAACTGTCTAGTTACTATCTGTAGAACTAGAGCTAGAACTATCTAGTTAGTAGTTACTATATGTAGAACTAGAGCTAGAACTATCTAGTTACTATCTGTAGAACTAGAGCTAGAACTGTCTGGTTACTATCTGTAGTACTATCTAGTTACTATCTGTAGAACTAGAGCTAGAACTGTCTAGTTACTATCTGTAGAACTAGAGCTAGAACTATCGGTACTCATCACTTCAACCTCCTCTGCTCCCTGTCGTTCTCTACCAGTATCTATGTGAACCTGACCCCCTCCGGGGACCTGCATACTTAGCTCACCCTGGGCGTTCCAACCAAAATGTCCGTGGGCGGGTCGACCGGGAGAATGGGAATGAGAGGATAATGATCCGCCTCTGCCCGGCGAAGGTTGGGGCGGAGCTGGAGAAGGGAAAGTAGCTGGAGGCGGAGCCATGTGTTGTATCTGTTGAGAAAGAGGCAGCTCCGCCCTCGCTAGAAACCCGCCTCGCATCTCAATATCTGTTGGGTATGGGCGGCGGGGATCGCCTTGCTGCCAATTTGGCGGAGCTGCCACGGCGTTGCTGGCGGAGATCTTGTGAGCATACTTGATAAGATCCTCGGAAAGAACAGGTTGGGCTTGGGATACGCTCTCCAGCTTCTGTTTAGCTTGGTAGATGGTATTGGAAAGCAAGGACTCAGCCTCCTTTAACTGCTTTTGCAGGTTCCTGATCAGGTTATCCTGCTCCTCAACCTCACCCTTCACCTCATCAATCTGCTGCTCTACTTCTCCCTGTTCAGCAGCAAGCTTGAGAGCAGCCTGCAGCTTCTTGTCTTTATCCACCAGTAGCTCGGTCAGGGAACTATGTTCAGAAGCTGACATTCTCTACAAAATTAGGGACACATTTAACAAAATCACATAAGTAAAACTTTTTTCGGCGAAAAAACTGAATAAATACCGCGACCAAACAAATAACTAGGTAAAAAAATGTTGTGCATTCATTATTTATCAAATCATTATTATTATTAAACAATTATTTTTATCTTTTATATAATTTACAGTTTTCAACAAAAATAAACAAAGACATTTCCTTTAAAATATACTTAAAAGTAGTTTGATTTAAATTTTGAAAAAACTGTGTCCCGCGAAAACTTGTAAACTTTAGAACAGTGAAAATAAAAAATGAAGATTACAACAAAAATAATATAAACCTTTGGTTTAGGGGCCACACAGTTCTCCAACATCTCCAGGCTGATCAGCTCGACATCGTCGATCAAGGAGAGGATCACCTCTTTGGTGCAGATACTCCACGACATGGTGATCAAGGGGTTTACTCCAACATTTATAGATCTGAAAAATAAATGCTAAATGAAGGAGGCTGGAAATCTTCAAATGAGGGATGGAGCGGAGAGAAGTAAAAGCAAGAACTGGGACGGATGCAATGAGAACGGGTTAGGTTTTGTTCTGAGGAGATGATAGCAGGTTGGGTTTGATGCTGAAAAGATATGAATGGGTTGGGTACGCTGAGGAGATGAGTAAGGGTTGGGTTTGATGCTAAGAAGATAGAAACGGGTTGGGTTTGAGGCTCAGAAGATGGAAACGGGTTGGGTTTGATGCCGAGAAGATGGAAGCGGGTTGGGTTTGATGCTGAGAAGATGAGAGCGGTTTGGATTTTCTTCTGTAAAGATGAGAAGGGTTGGGTTTGATGCTGAAATGAGAACAGAGATTTAATCTTCTGATTTCTTCTCTGGAGGTGGCCCACAGGGTTGCAGCATTTTCTCCAGGAGATTAAACTTGATCCTCGCCTTGCTCTCGTTCTCGGCGATAGCCAGGTGATTCGTCAGGTCGTAGTGACCCATTAAACTGGAGAACGTATCCCTAAAAATAAGATATTAAAAATATTTTAAGTGTTTTCTAAAAAATTCATTAACAAATTTTTTTCGGGAAAATATTTAGTGACAACCAAAAAACAGCAAAAGGATTGTCGTTTTCGCTCTTTTTTCTAAAAAAAAGGCAAACACATATTTTCAGACATTTAACGATTACAAACACAAAAACAGTATCTTTGTACATGTCATCCTAACTCTGTGAGCCACGCACTCCGGAAGAAGGCAGAGGGTTGCCGGGAGGGGTGGTTACCAGATAACATTAGTGTTATTGAGGATTCATAATAGATAGATAGATATAGATCTATATATCTATAAAACTCTATTTATATATTTGTTTGTTTGTTTGTCCGATCATAACTTGAGAACCCATCAACAGATTTGCCGCAAATTATGATTGGGTAACTCGGGAGACCAATGGGAATGTTCTTAGCTTGGTTATGAGATTCTAAGTTGAGTAAGTCGACTTAAAAACGAAAATTCAGTTTCCCGTTATGACCGTTGAAGTGCGGGTAAATGGCGGGAGTAACTTTAAGTTACCTGGGCAGCGCTGTGTTCCCAAGCTAGTATATTTATAAAGTTAAAATCTCTGTTTGTCTGTCTGTCTGTTTGTTTATCCGATCTTAACTCAGATTTGCTTCAATTTTCATTGCGGAATTCGGCATGCCCACGGGAATGTTCTTCTCTTGGGATAAGCATTCAAAGTTGAGTGGGACTAACCGGAGTAAGAAGCATTTGGTTTCTTTTATTTGAAATTGGTCTACAATTCAACAACTTAAAATTTACGAATTTGTTTATTCTGCACTCATTCATTCAAAACGTATATGCCGACAAAAAAGTATTTGAGAAAAAAGGCTAACAAAATAATGTATAATGGGTCGAATTGTGATCAAAAGTCACAGCTGTCTAAAATATTGACAGAACCGTCAAATCCACGTGACTTTAATAGTGAGCATTTAGTTTCTCGGTAAAATTGCAGGTAAACGGCGGGAGTAACTTTAGGTAACCTTGGCAGCGCTGGGTTCCAAAGCTAGTTATATATTTTCGAGAATTAAAATTAATATGCTCTTTAATACTTATGGTGGAAAAATGAAAAAATTTGGTCTTCGCAAGAATTTCATCCTTTACTATACTTTTTACACAATTCATCGAATAGGATATTATTTCAGAGGAGGGGGGGAGATTTTTCAAGAAAATATATCCCCCTTAGGACTCTTACCGGTCATTATAAAAGTTGAAAACTATAGAAGAAATATACCTGTGTTGATTTGTAGCCCACTCAAACTTGGTGGTGTCAGCATGCCCAGTCCCCATATATTTAGACTGCAGATGCTCCATCTGGGAGAGGATATTATATCTATCTCCCATCTTTTATCTGGTTTTTATCTGAAATAAAACGATATATATGGATATCAATAAATAACAAGGACTTCAGACAATTGATTTAAAAATTACAAAAAATTGAACAAATCTGATGAGAATGTCTTAAAAGCTATCAATAATGTGCAATTAAATGCAAAAATTACTTATATTTTTAATTTTTATAAAAAAATTATTTTTTATTTTTTAGGATTTTTACTAAAGTTTATTCAGGGTAAATGCACAACCTTCTAAAGCGGGGTTTACAACGAATCAATCAATCAATCAATATTATAATCAATTGAATTTATTCGATTAAGTTTCCTTGGACAGCTTAAATCACAACCTAATAATTTTAACAATTTCTACTTTACAGTTTGTCTACTTGACGACTAGATAAATAACAATGAATTTAAACTCTACAGTGTCCTCACTGTCAGGCATTAATAAATTACTAAGAAATACGCAAAAATGCGTTTGCAATTGTTAATTTTATACGCAATAATATCTATTTTAACAAAATTTAACAGATCAAAATCACAATACTATCATATTTCAGTGTAAAAACAAATAGTTAAAGCAAAGCTTTTAAAAATTTGTTTTTATAATAAATGAATGAAAGAGATCAAGTGGAAGAGTTGAAGGAATTGATAATGAATTAGGAACTGGATTCCATGCTACCTAAATCTCAGTGCTTAGAATCCGGATCGATAAATCCGGGATCCGGATTCAGATAAACACACCAAAATTAAGATCCAGTATTTTCATTGCGGATTTAGAATCCGACAAATACCGGATCCTTAAACACTGTCAATAAAATTATCAATTCAACTTTAAAATGCGTATTTAGTTTCAACTTTGGATTGAAAATAAAATTGGTTACTGATGTTTGATCAATGACAATCATTACTGACCTCCTCATGTTTACATTTCTCTGTCATTGTTTATATTGATCTCCTGTTGATACTGCGCTAGAATATCTATTTTATCTGTCAGCTGTTGACCAGTCTGTAGCGCGACGGTCAACAGGAGCAGAACATCGTTAACCCAGGGAACTACACACTCAGACTGATATCGGTCAAACCTAACAAAAGAGTTCCTGTAAGGGAGTGCTAAAAAAAATAAAAGGGTTAGACGAATTACAATTTCATGGATTCAAGAAGTACTGGTAACAATAAATAGGTATGAAAAGTATTAAAAAACAACAAACTTCAAATAATAATAATTAGAAAAGAACGTAAACTAAGTTAAGGTTGTTGAACGAAAATTTTGTGGGACAGAATATACAATTATCCAATTATCCAATCCAATTAAGAAAATGATTGACGGAAAACCTAGAGAACATAAGGCAATTCCTAATTTTTTAAATCTTTTATTTAAACATTCCGAAAATGTAAGACCGCAGAATTTCTTCAGGAAATTTTTTAATTTGTTTGTTTGAAACAATTAAGAAAATGATTCCTACCTTGACGCCCCCTTATCCACGACCAAGTGATAGACAGCGAAGATTAGCTTCCAGGACTGCAAATAGAAGGAGATCGCCACCTCCTTCGAGAGCGGAGGATTTAAGGACTTCACGTTCTTACTCGAAAGCAGATCATCCAGGGTTCTTTTCTTCGGGATAACTAGAGAAGTCCGACTCCGCTGCAGGGATACCATCACAGAACTGAAAGGGATTGATCACGTAAATCATAAGGAATCATAAGGAAGTGCTATCTGCAAGAGACCCCATTATAATGCAGCCTCCGCTAAAGGAAATGTTTGCATGCCCGATTGGCAACGGTACCCCTGAAACCTTATACTGATCAATAATCAAAAAATAATCCTTTTAAAGAAAAAAATAAAAAACATGTCAAATTCATACTTGATCTGACAAAATTTTTAGGATATTGTTGTGAATCGGTCATGCAACTTTTTCAATGAAGGGTCACTTTAAATCCCGTTTACACTCTTCGGTTTCCAACCTGGCATTTGATAAATAACGAACAGGTGACTGGAAAATAGTTGACTAGTGCAGATGAATCTATAAATAAAGTTTTATTTGAGGTTTGAAGTATATTTTTGTTTTATGTATTTTAAGAAAGATCGTAAATGATGTAATTAAAATAAAAATAAAAAATAGAATTCAAAGTTAAACTTTTTTCTCATTTTCCTCAATGCTTAATCTCGATATTTTTTATTCTACAAATTAATTAAATCTTTATTCTATATCCTGTGAAGTGTGGAAAACAAACAGCCAATTAGAAACCAGGAATTTTGCGTTCAACAAATGAGAGAACAGAGAAAGTAGGGAAAACCAAAATTAAGAGATCAAACAGATTTTCCGAAAAATTCAAAATTGCCCAATGTGGATATCTAGATCAAGGATCGAGACTGAGGGTATCCAACACAGAAGTTCTCAGCTCAGAGGTCGAATTTAAATAATCTTAACCGCGTCTAGACACGGTTCAAACACGGTTAATTCAGCTGAAAATCTTAATAAGTTTCACAAGATTTGAGCCGGCGATCAATTGGAATTCGATTTGCGGTTCAGCGACGCTGTTCAAATTCTTTAAATTAGGCTTCAGGTTACCTTTATATAATTAAATTTTAAGTTATACCTAAAGAAATTCTTGACTTCTTGAGCAGACTTAAACTCATGATCAGGATCCATAGACTCAAGCTCATCTGAGGCAAGCTGGAGATGGTTAACAGAATCCTACAGATAGATGACATGTATATCAGAGTTAAGCCAGAGATGGTTAACAGAATACTACAGATGATAACATATATATCAGAGACAAGCTAGTGATGGTTAACAGAATACTACAGATGATAACATATATATCAGAGACAATCTAGAGATGGTTAACAGAATGCTAGAGATAGATAATATATATATCAGAGACAAGTTAGTGATGGTTAACAGAATACTAAAGGTGATAACATATATATCAGAGACAATCTAGAGATGGTTAACAGAATGCTAGAGATAGATAATATATATATCAGAGACAAGTTAGTGATGCTTAACAGAATACTACAGATAGATAACATATATATCAGAGACAATCTAGAGATGGTTAACAGAATCCTAGAGATATATGTATATCAGAGGCAAGGTGGAGATGGTTAACAGAATCCTTCAGATAGATAACATATATATCAGAGACAATCTAGAGATGGTTAACAGAATCTTAGAGATATATGTATATCAGAGGCAAGGTGGAGATGGTTAACAGAATCCTACAGATAGATAACATGTATATCAAATAATCAAAGGTAAGCTGGAGCTGGTTAACAGAATCCTAGAGATATATGTATATCAGAGGCAAGGTGGAGATGGTTGACATAATCCTCCTGATAAATAAAATGTATATCAGAGGTAAGCTGGAGATGGTTAACAGAATCCTACAGATAGATAACATATTTATCAGAGGCAAGTTTCGAGCTGGTTAACAGAATCCTACATATAGGTAACATATTTATTATGAGGTAAGCTAAAGTAAAGATGTATCCTGGTAGGGTTGCAAAAAAATCTGGTTAAAAAAAATCAAAAACAGCAAAGTGTTTTTTTTTTGGGTTTGATAGTTTTTTAATTTGAATGTAGTTAAAACCTACTAAAATTCAGAAAAATTCATAATAATAAGACTATTTAAGCAAAGTGTGAAGTCAATAGTTAAGAAAAATAATAATATTGTTGTGATAATTGGCAATAATGATATTACTCTTCAAATACAATAATATCACCTCCCTTATTTAGAGGGTGAATTCTGCAACTTTTTGATATTATAGTTCTATAGATTTCAGACTAATACACTATTTTCTCACTTGGAAACATATTTCTGATTGGGGTAGGGCTACTCAGATTAATCGGTAGATATTTAATATTTTTCTGCTCAAGAAGGAAGAACACTGTTAAAAACTTCAGGTGTGAAGTAGTTCTGTGCATCTTCTTGGGTTTTTTCAATATCTTTGATACTTGTTGTAAAAAACAAGCACTGCAGATGATCGATTGCTTCAAAATATTTCTACAACTGGATTTGTCTGGTTTAAAACCAGAAACCATCTAAAAGTTCAGAGGTTAACATACTTTAAATTCATTCAACATTTTTTGTAAATAACTCAATATTCGAACAATATGCATTGTTAAGATCATTGGATTAAGTTTTAGGAAATGAATAAATGTGTTAGTTTTAGTGTTGTACACTCCTAAAAATCAATACTGTTGATAATAGACCTTAATTCTAGAAAACTTTATAATTAAAGAATGAAGAAAAGGCAATAGTTAGAAAAATTCTTTAAAAAAACCATTAAAACCCAAAAAAGTCCATTTACAGGTATTTTTTTTAAAATTTAAAGTAGGTCTTATTAGGTTCTTTTGGGTTGGTTTTTTTATGCAAACCCTGATCCTGGGATATAGGTATCTCTGTATACATTTATCCTTAGATAAAAGCATCTCTGTATCCATTTATCCTTGTATACAGGTAACTCTGTATCCATTTATCCTTGTATACATGTATTTCTGTACCCATTTATCCTTGAAAAATAGCATATAGTATTCATTTATTCTATACATGTATCTCTTGTATCTCTGTATCCATTTATCCTTGGATAAAGGTATCTCTGTATCCATTTATCCTTGGATTCAGGTTTCTCTGTATTTGTATCCAATTATCTCCAATACCTGAATTTGCTGAAGTTTCCAAGGGCAATCCTCCTTAATAGATGTATTGTAGTAAACATCTTTACCATGAGGACGGGGTAGTTTCAGATTAATATCAGCCTAAAAATATGAAAATTAAAAATAAAGCTACTGCCAAAAAATCTAAATTTGCTTTAACAATCTTTTCCACTTTTTTGTTTCATAAACTTTATATCTAAACTCAAAAAAGCCTCAAGTTATCAATTTTCGTTAGAAAATATTTCCAAATATTTTTCTTTTGATTTATACGGCAAAAACGATAAAAAAGATTTGTCATACAAAAGATGGAAAAACAGCAATATCTTTACCATTTGTAACTTTATAAATGTTTTAAAACCGTTATTAATCTTTTATGGAACAATTTTGAAAGAAAGTCTCATCTACCTGACTTATCTTATCTCCTGTCATGGTGACGACCACCTTAACCTGGTCAGGCGGGCTGGTCGCGTGACCGGTCATCGTACACCGGTCAGTTGTAAACAGAGTATCATTGTTGGTTGTTCCTACAGGGATTGGGAATTTGGCAGCACATTCCTAACAACAACACAAATAAGCAGTGTTTCGGATCCGGATCCGGTCGGATCCGTATCATTTGGTCGGATCCGGATCCGTATCAGGAAACGTTGATATGGATCCGGGTAGCGCCAAAAATTAACCAAAACCATGGAATAAATAAATCAAAATGGTTCGTAAATGTATTATTTACATTTTACATGACGAAAATTTTTCAAAATTATCTTTAATAATTTAATGTTTACATTTATATAATAGTAAATTAATGACGACATTTTATAAATTATAACCTTGCATAACATTTAATAGGGAAAATCCGATTCACAGAATCAAAAGTTACCTCGGATCCGGATCCGTATCAGGATCCGGATGGATCCGTATCAGGATCCGGATGGATCCGTATCAGGATCCGGATCCATCATCACGGATGCGGATCCGCGGATCCGGATCCGAATCAAAATGATATGGATCCGAAACACTGCAAATAAGAATTATGAATGGATAAAAATATTTCTTATAAATAATAACTTAAATAATTTTACAAAAAATTCAAATATTTTCGGTCACGTAAATTGAAATACAATCATTTATGAATAAGTATTGAAAAGAAAAAGTTGCCTGAACCTGAACAGCCTCCTTGAGCTGATTAATTACAGACTTGACTTCAGTGTTGAGAACCCAGTCGAACTCTCGCTGCAGGGATTCAATCTCCTCGACCGTCACATCCGCCATTCTTTCTGCATTAATTTTAAATCAGAAAAAATCCCTGATTTGTAACAAGATCATGTTTTTAAAAAGTTCCATCCTCGATTCACAACGGTCCACATTTAACTTTTTTCAAAGAAAAAGTTAGAAAAATATTCTGAGTTTTCTTCTTTGTTTTTGCTGCATAAAATATTTTTCTGTGTAAAACAATTTTGAAAATTATAAATTTTTAGATATAAAATAACAAGAATATCAAAACATATTTCAGCTTAGAAGAATGTTTGACGGTACCGTTGTGAACCGAGCAAAAGACTCATTAGATAGGAGGCAAACTAAAATTTACTTCAGCATTCTCTTTCAGAGAAGGGTATTTGAAATTGGGTAATAAAGGAGGACAAATCAAGGGAGGGGTCTGTATCACCGGTTCAGAAAAAAATCATGATTTATATCATGACCTGAATCAATTACACAATCATTACAAAGATCAACATTTGAGCAGGTTTTGCAGCTCCATCTAGTTCCAAGGATAGGATCGGCAGAGCAGTGATTGCAGACGAATCCTGGATGGTCTACTGATCCGTTCTCTAATTCATTTTCACTTTCTGTCTTGATCTTCTTCAAAAATTGAAGTAATTTATACTCGTCACTATTTTTGGCCTCATCCGACCACTCCTCGTCCTCGTCCTTCTCGTCCTCAACTATATCTGGAGAAGCTGGAACCTCGGACAGTTCCTCCGTATCCTCGCTTTCATCCATCCGTATCGTTGGAACGACACTTGTTAGGAACGTCGATCTCTTGGTAGACTCCAGAAGAGGTTGCTTTGAAAATTTCTTTTTAAGCGCTGGTTTCAAATATCGGTTCCTACTCCGCGTGGGAGGAGGACGTCCAGGGATAGGTAGACCGGCGCGCTGCAGTTTGAGAAAATATTTCTGAACCCTGCTCTGAACCTGGACTGGAGTCCGGTTGCCGAGCTCCGTTGCAATCTTTTTCCATCTTTCCATCTCAATCTCCTCTGTCGGATGGACGACCAGCAATTCTTCCAATCTTCTCTGCTCTTCAATCTTCCAGGGTTGATTAAACGTCCTTGGTTTATTATTTTTGTAAATCCGTCCTCGAACTAGAATATCTCCACTAGCCTCGTTGAACCCATCCTCGCTGAGCGAAAATTGTTTGGAGGTTGGTTTCAATTGTCTTTTAGAAACTTGTTCTGTTAAATTATATTTACTCCAGTCTATTTTAGGAACTGTAGGTATTTCAAGCATGGCTGGAAGGTCTGTCTGACCAGCGACCAATCTCTGGGAGAACTCCAGAGGGTTTTCTAACGCCTTCTTTTTCCTGTCATACAAGGTCTCGATGTCAAGTAAAGATTGAACTTTAATAGATTCCAGGCGAACAAGGGTTTGAATAAGGTTTAGATAATCAGTATTTCCTTTCAGTGCTAAATGATCGGTTTCGAATGAAAAAGCTGGATTCTCCTCATCATCTTGAAGATACGACATGTTGCCTTGTGTTACGAATCTGAAATTTGACTTCTTATCTGATGATAAATAATAAAATTCTTAAACAACATCTAATTCGATGCTACGCCGTTTTAATATCAATAACACTAGTTAAATGCCATATAAAAGTAAATAAAGTAAAATTTATAAGATATTTTTCAAGTAGATCCAAATCTATTAAACTTTGGTTAATCTGGTTGTTTTTTAGCTGTTTTCGGTGTTTTTATTGTTGTTTAATGTTGATGCCTTCTGTCAAAACGTTCATTTTGCGGCATTTTGCGACTCTAACAAAGTCGTCTTTGTTAGAATATTGATTCTCACGAAAATTATCATCGGAACTATGGTCCATCCAAACGATGGCGTGGTTACACCATAAAAAAGAACAAGGGTAACATTTTCACTCTCCCATCGTTAAAGCTTGTCAAGAATCAAGTTGTCATAATTTTGTCATCAGGAATTCGTCCGGGGGGGGGAGGGTCTTACATTTTTTCTTTCTAGGGGGGGCCAGGAGCTAGAAGCATCGATCATTTGGGCTCCCCCCCCCCAGAATACGCTTCTGGTTTTAACTTAAAATTACGAAAATAACTTTTTAAATTCCTGGGTGGCCGTATAGGACATGCAAGGAACGTAAAAGAAATTCCCCCACCCCCCGGGATCAAATATCATTAACCGCCCCTGATTACAGTTTACGTCTTGGGGTCTTATAATTGAAATTTCTATAAAATGTGGTCTTTCCTTTTAGTGCCTTTAAAATTAAAGAAGGCGATATTAATAAAGGCGTTTATAAAATGTTTGTTTATTTTCGATAAATTGATAATTATAACCTCGAACGGACCATAGTCAACTCTCCGTTTATTCTAAAGTTGAAAAATTTGTTAACCACATTTTGGAAATCCCACAAGGCATACAGACGTCGTCGTATATATTATTACAATGAAGACGACTTTCTATATTTAAATGTTTGATTTTGATCTCTACCTTATAATTTTCATGCTTAAAATTCCCATTTTTAACATATACAGGGTGTCCCACGAAACATAACAGTTGGTGAATAGGACTTTTTCCATTATAATTGTTCAGTTGTTTAAGATACCAATGATCAATGAAAATATTATATGGGAGTCATGTTATATTAAAATTGATTTCAATTAGTAAAATATAATTATGCAAAAGATTTGTTTAACTAAAAATAACTATTTATTAAATGTCATGTTTCGTGGGACACCCCGTATGTTTCTAGAACACGTGTAAAAACTGTAATATATGTTGCAATTGTACAATTATGTTTATAGGAATATTTTATCTGCAAGCTGCGAGTGCAGATGCTGCAGAAGACTATATCCAAAAGTCGTCACTTCCGCATGTTCTGTATATATAGTATATTTACGAAAAAGAATTGGATGAGTTGAGGGAGTTGAGGAAAGTAATAATATTATATTTAGACATTTAATTAATATTTCCTTGATGAAGAAATCTTATAAAACTTCTTATTTAACTTCCCAGACACAAAACTTAGTAAAACATTAATAACAGATTTGAGAAAATCATTTTCATTTTGTTTCAAGAGACGTGACGGCCTCCATGCAAAGATGGCACCCTATAAAGCTCAGTATAATTTAGATATCAATGTTAGGCCCGTAGCTGCAGGGGAAGGGGGTTCAAAGGGTCAGGTGCACCCCCCGTTTTTCTAAAATAGGGGTTGCAACGGCAAATTTGCAGCCCCATCCTTTAAAATAAGTTTCTTGGTATAGTCTACTCTTGAAAAATTGTTATCATGATCTGTAGTGTAAGGGTTTGGAACAATTGTTTAATAAAGCTGTTCCCAGACCAACCTCAGACCAACCTCAGACCAACCTCAGACCAACCAAATTAAACCTTTTTTTAAAATATTTGTCCTGAGGTAAGATTTTCGGATCGACTGAGATGGAATTTAAAGAATTTGAGCCGCGGTTTAAATCTGCCAAAACCCGGTTTAAATTAAGCGCCGGCTAAAATCTTGAAACATTTGATACAATTTTAAGTGGAACCAACATTCAAGCCGCGGCTTAAATTTAAACCGCCGCTCAAATTCTTTAAATTCGGCCACTGGTTTGTTATTCTTTCGCATATGTCGATAAACATACATACATGATACAATGTAACAAATAAATCAATAATATATTCCAGTAGGCGTCAACAATTCAATTCCTTAAATTGTGCAGAAACTAATTGCCTCAGTTTCAATATTTTGTCTAGACAATTCAAAATCAGCGAACGTGTGCAGTGTTATCAAAATTATTAACATTTAGTGTCGTCCAGTATTGTAAAATTCTTATGAAAATGTTGTGTACCATACAAAACTTTCACTGAAACATTAAGTTCAAGCTAAAAATCAAACCAAAACTACAAAAATGTTCTATGCTAGGGGGCTCTACCCCCCTTTCAGCCTCGTTCACTTTCACTCGGTGAACCCCCCCCCCCCCCTTGGAAAAATACTGGCTACGGGGCTGATGTTTAAAAGATTGAAAACTGATTATTTTCAATTGTGATTTATGCTACAGGAAAAAAAATAAGAATTTTCAAAATGAAACACTAGAAAAATGACAATATAACCACATTATGAATCAGCTTTAAAGGTTTCAAGAGTAAAGTTATGAACCAGGTAAATTGCTATCTTCGGCCTGGAGACTTAAGCTTCCATATAGCCTAGCTCCTCAACTCGAAATTAAGCTTACAGTCCCTTTAAGAGATTTAGTTTCCATATTTAATTTGCTTACAAAGACGGATGATGAATATGCAAGATGTTGCAAATTTTTCCAAAAAATTTGCCATTTGACATTTGGAACATAAGTTAGACAACCTTCCTGCTAGAAGATGTCCATGAACCATAACTCAGAGGTCCGGAATTATCATTACTCTCTGTTAACATTTTTTGACAAACAAAGATTCTCTTTTGTAATCAATCCAGGCAAATTCAGAACCAAAGAAACAAATACACAACATTGAAACTCTTGGAACACACCCTGAAACTCTTGGAACACACCCTGAAACTCTTGAAACATAACCCTGAATCTCTTGAAACACAACACTGAATCTCTTGAAACACAACACTGAATCTCTTGAAACACAACCCTGAATCGTTTAAGACACAACCCTGAAACTCCTGAAGCACAACCCTGAAACTTCTGAAATACACTAAATCTCATGAAACACAACAGCGAAAAAAAAACGATAATTTTCGTTCGTTTCACAAACTTTTTCATTAAATTTCGCATTATTTCGCGAGAATGAATTAAGCAAAAAAAATGCGAAAACGATAAGAAATTTTGCGAAAACAATTTTCGCGAAAAATAATTTCGCAAAAAATGCGAAAAATTATTTCTTGAATAAAAATTTCCGCGCAAACCATAAGTGTTGTAGCTGCAACAATAAACTGCACAAAAAACTTGTGGAATTCTCTGCTCTGAGAGATCAACATGAAAAGTTTAAAAATATTATAATTAAAATGTCTCTTTCTTTACTTTAATAAATGTCTGATGAAGAGAATTTCGTTTATTTTTCTCGCAAAATTTTCGCATTAGTTTTTTGCGAAACAATCCTGAATCCCTTGAAACAGAACCCTGAACCTCCTAAAACAAAACCCTTAAATCTTGAAATACAACCCTAAATCTCTTGAAAAAACAAAACTAAAATTCTTGAGACACAACTCTATATCTTTTTAAGAACTACATAGAATCTCCTGAAACACAACCCTGAATCTCTTAAAACGCAACCCTAAAACTCCTGAAACTCGTAAAACACAACTCCGAATCTGTTTAAACACAACTCTAAAACTCCTAAAACAAAACCCTGAATCTCTTAACACACGCTAATCCAGGTCATGGAGAAGATTAGAGAAAAAGTTAGAATTAATCTTATATACTTACTACTTAGTGTATAAGTTCAGTTTCTTTATTATATTCTTTCTATTATTCTCTGTTCTATTCTTCCTAATCCCACCCTTAACCTTCCATTCTTTCCCCCCCCCCACCCTCCTCTCCCACCCAATCCAACTTTTCTTCCCCCTTAACCTTCCATTTTTTCTCCATCCCCCACCTTCTCTTCCCCATTAACCTTCCATTCTTTCTCCCCCCGCTCTCTCCTTCTCTTCCCCCGTTAACCAATTCCATTTTTTTCTCTTCTTCTCTTTCTCCATAAATTTAAGAAACGCCGAGTGCGCAATACGTTGTCAAAAAAAGGATGGACAGTTAAAGCAGGTGCACTGAATTACTTTTCAGGACTATAGAGAGACTTTTTATAAACAAAATGAAGAAAATTCCAGACAAATTCTTCTCAACTTGTTTTCATCTCTTCGTTTATTTTATTCTCATCAAATTAATTTGCAAATACAAATTTCACGGTCTAATATCTTTTATAGTTTCCGTCTAACTATAATTACAGAAATAGTTATTTTTGCATGCAAATATTACGCATAAAAAGAAGCACTGCCAGCCTAAAGGGACTGATATTGTAATTTCATGCATCCGTCACAACTGAATCCTATAAATCTTCGACGGATCAAGGATAAGGGAGAAAGCCTTATTTTTTTAGAAAATAATGGAGAGACAAACGTGTTTTTCGGATAGGCATAAAAGGTTGAAATAGAAGTATTTAATATATTTTTATTTAGTTCCAATATAACTTCTAAAAGATAACAAAATTGCTTTATGTTTCAAGTGAGTTCAGTTCAGGCAAATCAGAATTTTTGGACATACACAAACAAACAGAGATGTATTGTATATACATGACAATGTGCAGGGTGGTCCAATATAATATAACATCTATATCCACACGCCATGTTATTTGTGAATGTGTAGTCAAAAATGTAATCCATTTGAAACAATGAACATCGTGTTAACCCCATGGATCGATATTTTCAAACTGTGGTCTGTCTTTTTCGTACTTTCAAAATTAACGTAAATATTGAAAATCATGAACAAATTTCAATATTATCGATTTCTTGAGTATTTCGGTCAATTTAATAGTGTAAAGAATGTAAAACTTTTTGATCCATGTTCTGTTTTATTTAGCTGAAGGGTCCAGCGTTGCCCGTAAAAAGGAATCTTGAAAAAAACAAACAAATTTTGAACAAAAAAATATAATTTTTTTAGCCTATAACACACCCCGGCCACCCATGAGTGTCCACAAAAAATTTCAGCACAATCGT